CAGTAACCTTTTTCTGACAACAGCATGGCTTACTCGGTCGTCTCACAAAATAAGAGCAACACATAGAAGACACCTAGGATCGAATTCTAGAAACTTACCAATATCCTCTATTCTAACTGGTCATGCTTCACACCCGTTAATTAGGACTGAGCGAACTGTTGCGCAGCACACTCGTTATTTGATTTGCAAACAGATATCTTGCCTACGTCATAAACGACGCAAGTTGGCGAAAGCCAATAGAGCCTTCTGCATTCGTGCTGAGATATCGTCAGTCACCAGGCCATCAGGACTGTAGAGACTCCCAAATTAAGTTAGACAGTCAACATGCTCAACTACTTCACTTCCTAATGTGGTGTGCGCTACTTATAAGTAGTATATGACGTGAGTGTAAACGTAATGTCTGGCAGCAGAAGATGGGGGAAGATCAAGAAAGGAAGAGTGGGAACACAATGGAATTTGTATGAAACGAATGAATAGTGACAATGTCAGACAATGGGTTGATGATGGATTGAAGATTTGCAAATTAACCGTTTGCGATATGGTTTTTCTATTTTACTGAGTAACTCTGTAATTTGCGATAAATACAATTCGGTTGCCCTCACCTGTGTTCTCCTTCACTACACTATCACTAGTGCAGGTTCCGATGCTAGCCAATTCAGAAGTAAAATTATGCGTTTCGAGGGCGAGAATCGCATCCCAAACATGATTGCATTATTGCTTAAAGTGGTTTGAAGACTGCATTTTGTCAGCGTCTTCACCGAACAGAACGAAGTTAAATACGTGATCCACTAATCACATATCACGCACACACACACAAATACACAAACACACCAAATGTTTTGTTGAATTACTTTTTTTTATTTCCATACAAATTCATTTAAACTAATTTTAAAAAAATCGTTCCTTATCAAGGTTAATGATGATGAATAATCAAACTGAAACAAGGTCATATTGACATTTGAATGAATGGCCTAATTTTCCTTTTAATTATAAATGTAAACTATGTTCAATTCTATCAATGTATTGGTCACTTACACATAATCTTGTTTAAATAGTTGACAAAAAGTGTTATTATACCCTAATTAAAATCAATTTTATGTAAACACTTTATTTAAGGAATATACTATTTAGGAAGACTATTGATTTTGCGTTACAATATAAAGTTCACTATTGAATGAGAGTATTTAGAACAGAGTGATAGCGTAGTTATGAGCGGTCCCTCAGGATCAGTGCTGACTGATGTGTGTAGTATAGTGTAGGTGAAGACTCAATTCAACAGATGTATGTGTGTGCGTGTGTGCGTGTGTGCATATAAACAGTACTTGGATGACATCATAGTCATATAAGTGATAAACATGAATATTTCAACTTCTTGTTAGAGGGACTGAACCTCGATCGATAAAACATGTTAGTCGTAAACAATCAGCTTCAATTTCTAATTAATAGAACAGATGACAATTCCATCAAAAATTTTTCCAACATAAAGCAATATGTTAGTTTTGTATAGCCATTGTTCAGTTCAATATAAACATGGATTCATAAAAGAGCTTGTTTAATAGGACCAATCGTATTTACCATAGCGATACTATTAAGGGAGATGTAAATCTCCCTCACTTAGACAGATAGATAAATAGTAGTTATTCATCAAAGCCTATAAACCTTTGGAAAGGTAGAGCAACACGATAAGCTCTGTTACCTATCCTGAGTAGACAAATATCTTCCTCCATGGCAAAACATTTGATGAAAACCGGTTATAAGCTTGATATCAAATCAGCCTTAATGTTATTATACAATCGTATTCAAATGGTATAAACTTTGGTTTATTGAAGCCTTAACTATATGAAAATTGAAACTACGTGTATGTATTTAAAAACAATTTGTTCTTGACCTTAACCAACCTATTGATTTATTACTCAGTGTGAATTTCACAGTGTGTACTTTATTGACTCCATTGTTCCCTTTTACTCTCCAGTTTGTCTGGTTGACTTTTCCTCTTTTCATGCATACTCTATCTGAACAAGTATATGTATGATAGGATTTATATCATTTCTATACGAAGGTTCCAACTAGCTCTCTCTCATCATTTGACCAATGTCTGATTGACTTGGCGTATTAGTTAGCAGAGTTGTCATCAAAATAAAATCGGTTCAGAATTATACTGTCTAATCAATCAGTGAACAATGCCAAATCTATACATAGTTATTTATGAATGGAGTTGAGATCATACAAGTAAATATCAACCAACTCAGTGGTTATGTGGTGCTGTGGTGCGAGCTACTTATAAGTAGTATATGACGTGAGCGTCAATGTAATGTCTGGCAGTAGAAGATGGGGAAAGATCAAGAAAGGAAGAGTTAGAAAACAATGGAATTTGTATGAAACTCATGAATAGTGACAATGGATTGATGTTTTGCAACAGGAACAGTCCAGTTCAATATGATGAACTGATATTTTGCAAATGAACGATTTACGATATGGTGTTCCGATTTTACTGAGTAACTCTGTAATTTTCGTTAAATACAATTCGGTTGCCCCACCTGTGTTCTAGCTCACAACAGTTAGCTAACTGTTAGCCATGTAACCTCAATTGTCCTGAGTCTAATCCTCAGGGACGTCTCTACTGGAGACTATTGAGTAATACTTTACTAGGATTTGAATGATACTCCAACACAACCTATACATTAAACCAAGCTGCATAATATACATCTTTAACTACAACCGATTCGCCCACTGGTTTCGTAACTTCTTTTGGTGAGAGATTGGGTGATTCAGATTCCAATCTCTAGAAGAAGAACGTTAATTCGATCAAGACAGCAGATAGAGTTCAAGTGTTGACTAATATGAAACTTTCTGTTTACTATCTATAATTATTTAACATTTATAGCTCAGGTAGATGATTGTGATTGATTTGAATGGAAGCACTGGACAGTCGTTTCGTAGTTGGAAGGGACTCTTCAGCAGTAAGTATCCGTGACCTTGAAAGCAGGAATCGAAGCCGGGATCTTCGGTCTCACATATGAACGATTAACTTCTAGTTCATTGAGCTGCAATCCAATATTAGAGGATGAGAAGGCCATTCAATGCTTTCAGATTTTCAATGGTTATCTAATTTTGTTCGACTTCCTTTACTGAATTCTCTTCATTCTTGATTAAATTGAGATTATGTGATCGAAGATAATTTGTTTTCGACAAATGTATAGTATTTATTCACTTTGCTAGTTTGGCTGGCTTATGGTTTCATGATCTTATTTATGATTGGTTCACTCAAGGTTTTCAGTATACAATACTTTCAACTTTTATTACCCCCAATAATGTTATTTCTTATGCTTATTTTGAACTACAAGGCTGAGAATTTCAACGGAGAGAACCTTTCCAGCCGAATACGAGTTCACTGCAAATAGAGATGTTTTTCAATTTCGTTGTTAATATCACGAACTGATCTTAGTTAAACAACCATTCAAAACCAGTAAGCAATATAAAACTGTTCTGCCCTATTTCTGAGATTCTTCAGAACAGTCTACTGATGATCTTACCAATAAGGGTTCAACTCAGAACCAGACTTCTTGTGCACAAACATTTAACCTCTAGACGTCTAGGTCCATATTCAGTGGTTCACGTGTTGAACTTCTGTAATTTCGTTATATCTCAGGATAACCTTCCAATGTCCTTGGTAAATAACTGCCCCATATTCAGCATTTGAAATTACCTCTCGAACTTAATCACTTGTAAGTAAATGATTTTTCTAAAATTCAAAGTTAGCACAATCGACTGATTTTAATTATTGATCATCACAACCAAATCTAAACAAGTGTGTTGAAAAAAAACATTGAAATCAATTTCATTTTCAATCACTCCAGATTATTTTAAAATATAATATTCTCATATCATGTCTGCTTACTTTATTTACTTTCCCATGTTACCTCTAATAAATCATAGGCTGCCAACCTACTCTGTTCGGAGCCTTCTTTTCCAGTTCCTTTCAATTGCTGTTCAGTCTTTTCATATCTGCTTCTTTGGTCTTCCTCTTCTCCTTTGACCTTGAGGAACCCAAGTGAGGGCTTGTTTTGTGATTCAGTTGTGTGCTTTACTTAATGTGTACCTTATCTACCTCCGACTGTTCTCCCTAATTTACTCCTTAGCTGTAATCTGGTTTGTTCTATCCCACAGTAAGTTGTTGCTAATGGTGTCTGATCAACGGATCCAAAGTACCTTATGCGGGCAACTGTTAATAAACACTTGTATCTTTTGAATGATGGATTTCGTGGTTCTCCAAGTTTCTGCCTGTTATGCTTTTCACTAGATATGCTTGAAACTATTACGGGTTCACCTTAGTCGAATAACCAGAACAAAACAATGAACCAGCATCCAGGTAGGCTACTAGCAAGAAGCCTTGATATAGCGTAGGAAGTGTATTCTACAAACATCCAGCCAGCACACAATGAATTCAAGCACACAAATTGCGTTTAATTATACACTATAGAGACGTCCTAGGGAGAGTCACAAATTTGCATATTAAAATAACACAGTAACCAATCACAACCAAGGCTTTCGTTGGTGGGAAATGTGATCTCAAGGTAAATTGATGAGCCCATGAATAAAATTCAAAATAAAGACATTTATCAAGCGAGTTCTGTGGATCTAACATACCCAACACTGCTCCATAAACTAGAACTGTCTTGACATTTGTATTGAAAATTGTGGCTTTGGTGTTTGCCATTGGTTGTTTTGAGTTGGAGGTGTTCTCCAATTGTAGAAGTGCTTCTCTTGCTCGTCCAATCTGTGCCAACATTATATCTTTTGCTTACGCGATATTCATGCAAATATTTGCCAACTACATGTGACTTAGATTTCTATTAGTTATCAATCCATAATTATTATTCATGTTTATTTCGTGAAATAAAACAGTTTATAAACTAATCTCATCATCTATTCATTTCTAATGATAAAATAATCATAAAATTTAATTTTCTCTTTATTTCTATTCTCATTGAATTAATCAGAGGCTAAATTGAATTCAAGAATAGCTACTGGACATGATAGTGTGTATTTTGGACAACGTCTAAGTTGGCCAGTTAGTCGTTCATTAGATGATAAAGATGTACTGATTTTAAAAGCATATCAAATAAGAAAAGGTTTACCAGATAGGTAAGTTGTTTTGTTGTATAATTAATATAATTAATAGTATTATTTTTATTGTTACTGAATAAAATCAACTTATGATAGTCGACTTCAACACTAGGTTTCAACATACACAGAGGGAAAAATCAAGATTCACCGATACAACACAACATCATGCGTCAACCAAATCATACTTGATGGAGATGCTTTGGAGGATGTAAACACCTTTACATATTTGATATAGACGTGAAGTTGTGGATTGACAAAGCAAGGGTTGCGTTTTTACAATTGAAAAACATCTGGAACTCAAAAATACTTTCAACCTACACCGAAATCTGAATTTCCAATACAAATGTCAATACAGTTTTACTTTTGTTAGGATATTCATCCAATATCCTAAGAGAATTATTGGTCAATTCCTATTGGTCAATTTTATGGTTGTACTAGATATCAATGTCACGTACTCCAATGTTGTCTCTTATTGGTCATCCTGACTATCAATGTCACTTCAAATGTTGCTTCCTATTGGTCGTCTTAACTGTCAATGTCACAGACTTCGATGCTGTTTCCTATTCGACCTAAATGTACAAACACGCACTATCTGTAATATTTTATGATCCGGACTCGGACCCGGATCCCTAGTCCGTGATCCTTAACCTCTTCTGGACTCGGATCTCATACTTTCTGTAACGTTTTATGACCCGGATCCGGATACTTAGTCTTGGATGCTGATTCTCTTCTGGACTCGAACCTCGTACTTTCTGAATGCTTGTAGAATACACGTTCTACTTCATATCGTCTTCTTTTACTCAATGGGGGTTAGGATAATTAGATTTGAGTGGCATGTCGTGTCACCGTATCCTCGATCCTCGCTTTCGTATTCCGACTAAGGTAAACTCGTAATAGTTCAAGTATTTCAAAATGATATGTTTACGTGCATGCGTAACAACTTTATGAGGTGGAAACTTAGAGAACCGCAAAGGCCATCATCCACAATATACAACGTTTTATTATCAGTTGTCTAAGCAAAAATCTTCGGATCCGTTAATCGGAAATCACAGGCGACAACCTGCTGTAGGAAAGAACAAACCAGATTGCAGTGGAGGAGGAAATGAGGAAGAAGCACTGGAGGTGGAAAGAACCCATACTGAATAAAGTACCCAGTTGCGTCACAAGACAAGCCCTCAATAGGAGTCCTCGGAACCAATATAAAATAAGAAGATCAAAGAACTCATTATGCCAAGAAGCTGAGAGAGAAATTAAAAGAATGAAGAACACTTAGGTAGAACCAGAAAGGAATGCCTAAGACAGAGTAGGTTGGAGAATACTGGTTGGCAGCCTATGTTTTATTATGGATAGCAGGTGTAAGTAAGTAAGTAAGTAAGTAAGTAAGTAAGTAAGTAAGTAAGTAAGTAAGTAAGTAAGTAAGTAAGTAAGTAAGTAAGTAAGTAAGTAAGTAAGTAAGTAAGTAAGTAAGTAAGTAAGTAAGTAAGTTTGTAAGTAAGTAAGTAAGTAAGTAAGTAAGTAAGTAAATAAATAAGTAAGTAAGTATGTAAGTAAGTAAGTAAGTAAGTAAGTAAGTAAGTAAGTAAGTAAGTAAGTAAGTAGGTGCATAAGTAAGTAAGTAAGTAAGTAAGTAAGTAAGTAAGTAAGTAAGTAAGTAAGTAAGTAAGTAAGTAAGTAAGTAGGTGCATAAGTAAGTAAGTAAGTAAGTAAGTAAGTAAGTAAGTAAGTAAGTAAGTAGGTGCATAAGTAAGTAAGTAAGTAAGTAAGTAAGTAAGTAAGTTCAGAATGTTAGGCTTAATCGACACGGGTTCAGTTCTCGAATCAAAAGTGTGTTGGTTAACCTCTTTGTTTTTAATTTCTGTGCAATTCAGAAGTTTTTGCCAACCCATCTATTATCAGTAGCCGTAGTACTGATTACATTATTTAGATCAACTTTACCATTAAATCCCTTTGTTAGTAGACTGACATTACATATACAAATTAATTTATTTCTTGAAAAACACAATAATAGTTACACATCTGAACGGGAATACTGAATGAGGTGAGTACGAACCACATACATATGGTTCGTTAGTTTTCAAACAGAATTTCCTACTGATTATATATTTAAATGGTAAAATTAAGAATCACAATTGATCATTAACTAACTATTTATTATCTTATTTTAGTTTACTGGGATCTTTATCAATCAATCTTTATCCACTAACTCGTGATGTACATTCAATATTTCGTGAAAATCTTGTCAATAGTTCAAATCATCCAACTGGGGTGAGTTTCTTTTTAAACAAAAATATTTCAATTGTATTATATCAGAAAAAATTAACTGCTCATCAATTCAGCACTATTCAAAGTTCATTGATTCAAAGAATGTCAAGAGTTCTGTTTAAAGTGAAGTTTTAGCAAGTAGAGTTTAACCATTATGGACATGTGATTGTTGATTTTGACTGAAATCATATGAATCAATCATTGTTAGACCAACATTAAAAAACTTGAAGTAATGAAAGATTACCATTTTGTCCTAGTATGGGGTTCATCAACAGTGTGCATCCACAAATCTCGCTTACTAAATTCGAACTCAGGAACTTCGGTCTCGAGTGTCATCGCTTAACCTATAGACCACTGAGCTAGCATCCGATAGTGTTAATAATGTCTAGCTTTGACTGATCTAAGGTTTTACACAACCTCACTCATTGTCTTCTGTAGGTAACTGCCTACATTTGACACGGTTGAACTCCATTGGTCACGGCTTCTCACCGGAACTCTGAGAATTTTCTCATGATATTCATTAAAGAGTTATGGAGATTGTCTTTGTTTGATTGAAATCATAAATCGTTCAAGTCCGAAACCTTCGTTCTTCTTTGGTTCGATTCCTGTGTATAGGAGTGGTGGATGCGCACTGATGAAGAGTAGCAGACTCGGACTAAACGGCCATCTAGTGCTTCCAGGTTTTTAACGGTGGTCTAACAATTGACAGAATCATCAGCATAAAAAAACTATGAAATAAATGTGCAAATAAATTCGAACTGTCAATGATACAATGTTCAAGATTTACTAAAAAAAATTGATAATTGAATATACACAGTTAATTATTTAAATTTCACTTGCATGTACTCATTTGTGTGTAGCTGAAAAGACTAGTTAGTGCTAACCAATATCATATAACCTCATCATCAGTGAGAATTAAAATTTGGCTCTTGAAGTCAGTATAGATCCAAATAACTCAACGATTAACATTTATGACACTGATTCGGATTCTAAAAACCTCAAGATTCTAGACACAATATTCTAAAAAACTCTAAATTAGCATGAAATTTCAGTTACGCTTCTTTCTGATTGCTTCTGGTTCTTGTATACAAGAAAAAGAACAGTACATTTCTCATTTCATTAAATTAAGCTGTAGAAAAAATTAATTACATTTGTAGCTGCTTGATATGCTTGAAACTATTATGAGTTCACCTTACTCGGTAAACGAGAGCGAAGATCGATGATCCAGTGACACGATAGGCTACTCTAATCCGTTTGTCCTCTACCCGGCTAACTATATCAAGAAGTCTTGATAAGGAGTTGAGAATGTATTCTACAAGCACCCAGAAAATACGAGGTCAACAAGAACACAAATCGAGTCCCTGGGGAGAGCCACAAAAAAAAGCGTACTAAAATAATCCATCTATGAATGACAGTCAAGGATTTTTCCGAGTGGGAAATGTAAACTGAAAGTCAACTAAGCGTCTCTTGGCGAGAAAACATAAGAAATCCCAAATTAGGACCTTTTCCAAGTGAGTTCAGGAGATCGAACCTCGCAACACTGGCACCAACCAATTACTTAATGAGATAATTGTAACCCAATTAATCAATATATTCTCACTCAGTTTTGGTACAACTTCTGTTTTTATTCTTCTGTTTTCTTTGTCCTATTACATTAGATATTGTTATTATTTGAATTACGTTATCAGTCACCTGATAGTACACATGGTGTCCTTGAAGATGATCTTGTGAATTATCCTCTGGCAGATACAGAATATGAACTAGAAAATGCTGAATATGAAATTAATCAAGATCAACCACCACCTTTAACGTAAGTAGCTTTTTTATGATACTAAACTGTTAAATTTCTTTATTATAGTGAAGAATATTTGTAGATCAGGTGGGTTATTGTGGTAGAGTTTTGTTCTCTGAGCTACTATTGTTCTTCGCCTGAGCTAAACCTCATCAACACAAACTTCAGATAGAAGAAGTGAAGTATTCGAATTTCTCCACATATATGACCCGTAGCTTATCTTGTTGACTTCATATCTGGCCCAAATATAGGAGTACGAATCATATCACAGGGGGAAACAATCAAGATAAAGTGAGTGATAACACCAGCGTAAAGGTCGATAATGACCAATGAAAATCGAAGTTAACAGGACAAGCTAGTAGTCATACGTGGAGAAATTCGAATTCTTCACTCCCATCTAAAGTTTGTGATAATGATGTTGTGCGGAAGAAGAACAATGAAAGCGCCACAACCAAAATATCCAGTTCAGAGAACAAAACTCTACTACAAGTCATTGTCGTTTTAAAGTTATATAATTAAATTATTACTTGGAAAAATATCTCATTTTGAGGTAAATGCATAGCTTGAAATTATGTGAATTCAGTTGAAAATCTATTTGAAATGACACGCATTAAACCCCTAACCCCTAGTAAGTAAAAGTTGAGGGCAATAAATTTGTATTTTTTTAATGTACACTAAACATTCTGTTAAGCAACTGCGAAAATATTTCACATCCTCTTCAAGAAGATTTGGGATGAGGAACAAGTACCATCAGATTGGAAAGAAGGATACCTCATCAAATACCAAAGAAGGGCGATCTCAGCAAGTGTGAGAACTACAGAGGCATCACTCTTCTTTCAATACCAGGCAAAGTCTTCAACAGGGTATTGTTAAACAGAATGAACGACTTCGTAGACGCCCAATTTCGAGATGAACAGGCCGGATTTCGTAAGGATCGATCGTGTACTGACCAAATTGATACATTACGGATCATTGTGGAACAATCAACTGAATGGAACTCACCACTCTACATCAACTTCATCGACTACAGGAAAGCATTCGATAGAGTGGACAGGAAAACACTGTGGAGGCTTCTTCGACACTACGGTGTGCCTGAGAAAATAGTTAACATCATACGGAATTATTATGATGGATTCAACTGCAAAATCGTACACGAAGGACAGCTAACAGACTCCTTTGAGGTGAAGACCGGTGTGAGGCAAGGTTGCTTACTCTCAACCTTTCTCTTTCTCCTAGTCATCGACTGGATTATGAAAACGTCAACATCTGGAGGGAAGCACGGTATCAACTGGACAGTTAAGACGCAGCTGGACGATCTGGACTTTGCAGATGATCTGGCTCTTCTATCGCACACTCAACAACAAATACAAGAGAAGACGACCAGTGTAGCAGCAGCCTCTGCAGCAGCAGTATGTCTCAACATAAATAAAGGAAAAAGCGAAATTCTCCGATGCAACACAACATGCACCAACCAAATCACTCTTGATGGAGATGTCTTGGAGGACGTTAACACCTTTATATATCTTGGCAGCATCATCGACAACCAAGGTGGATCCGATGCAGATGTGAGGGCACGGATTGGCAAAGCAAGGGCTGCATTTCTACAGTTGAAAAATATCTGGAACTCCAAACAACTTTCAACCAAAACCAAAATCACGATTTTCAATACAAATGTGAAGACAGTTCTACTGTATGGAGCGGAAACATGGAGAACTACGAAAGCTATCATCCAGAAGATACAGGTGTTTGTTAACAGTTGTCAACGCAAAATACTTCGGATTTGTTGGCTAGACACCATCAGCAACAACGTACTGTGGGAGAGAACAAACCAGATTCGAGTGGAGGAGGAAATCAGGAAGAAGTGGTGGAAGTGGATAGGACACACATTGCGGAAAGCACCTAACTGCGTCACAAGACAAGCCCTCACATGGAACCCTCAAGGCAAAAGGAAAAGAGGAAGGCCAAAGAATACATTACGCCGAGAAACGGAGAAAGATATGAGAAGAATGAACAAACATTGGACAGAACTGGAAAGGGAAGCCCAGGACAGAGTTTGTTGGAGAAAACTGGTGTGCGGCCTATGCTCCATTGGGGGTAACAGGTGTAAGTAAGTAAGTAAGTAAACATTTTGTTCGATTTGATTCAGTAGAAAGAATCATATAAAGCCAAATACAACCAGTACTTCAATTATTTGAAATTCAGTGATAATTTTATTGATTAACTAATGTAGTATTTGACAACTTCATTTGTCTTGTATTCAATAAAAAAAATGAACATTTTTTCAACTAACTAAACACATTCCTTTAAGATAATAACCATTCAAACTTTTCTAAATAAAAAAATAAAATAATTAAATTTAGTTTTTCTATTGAAAAATATTGCATTTTATCGATTGATCAAAAACATAAATTTTAGTCTAAGTTTATCATCACCTTTGGAATTTCGAGCGATAGTATAACTCACCTTGACCTTGAGAAAATACTTAATTTTGATTGGCTCCAATTTTCAAACCGATTCATTCTTTCCTGACAAAAATGACCTTGAGAACAATCTAATGTACTTAAACTGTTTCGACATTAATGATCACTGTTAATGTATATATATATGTCTATTAGAAATGACCTGAGATTCTTTTGTCACTTGATTTCACTTCAACTTTCATCATTATGATTGTGTAATTCAAACACAGTTGTGCATAAATCGATTAATTTAAATATTTGACAAAATTTTGAAAGTTTACCTGTAATTATCTATCATGAAGGTTATTATTATAGAATAGTACTGTTTATTATTATGTTTGTGTGTGTGTGTGTATGTTTACATTGATATTCTATCCTGTTCACTTAAACTTGATCTATGCAAAAATCAATACAGTCTAAGCATTAATTTGAAAGCGAGGATTCATCGTAGTGTGCGACTCATTAGCAATGTGCGGGAATCGAACCTAGGACCTATGGTCTGGCGTGTGAGCATTTAACCTGTAGACTACTGAGCCGGCATTCATCGATGTTAATGTCTAACTTTGATTAGTCTAAGCTACTGCGTAATCTGTTTGTTCATATGTGATGTAATTACTTGATAAACTGAGACTTTTAAATATAAGAACTAGGTCGATATTTTAACTTTTGAACACAAACAAATTAGATGACTAGATTATCACATTTTACATGGAGATAATAGCATGGAGTTTCGTTCTCTGAGCTGGATGTTTTAGTCTTAGAGCTTTCATTGTTATTCTTCTGAACAATATCATCAACACAAACTTCAGGTAGAAGTGAAGTATTCAAATTTCTTCACAAATGACTATCAACTTTTCCTGTTGACCTCGATTTCAACGAGAAATTCGAATACTCCATTTACAAATGAAGTTTGTGTTGATGATGTTTTGTTCAGAAGGAGAACAATGAAAGTTCCACAACCAAAAAACATCTAGCTTAGCTAACAAAACTCCACTAAAAATTATCCATCTGAGCTACAAATTTTCTCTGCCATCTCATTATTGGTTGTAGTTATCAAAAATTTACCGCAGATATGTAATATTCGAATGAATCAAGAAATTGGATTGCTTTGTTGAAAATAAATGACACGAAAAAGCATCAAATGTACTGATAATCAAATTGAACAAAATTCTGATATTCTCGGCAATTGATATGTTTGAATGCTATAACGAGTTCACCGTACTCGGTAAATGGAACGAAGATAAACGATGCAGTGATACGATAGGCTATTCTAATCCTATTGTCCCAGGTCTTGTTAACTAGTGCATGAAGTTTTGATAACGTGCAGAGAATATATTCTACAAGCATTCAGAAAATACGAGGTTGAGGTCCACAAGCACACAAATAAAGCATATTTATACAATGATAGAAACGCACTTGGTAAGAGCCATAAATTAGAGTACTAAACTAATCCATCAACCAATGACAGTCAAGGATTTTCCGAGTGGAAAATGTAAGCTGAAGGTCAACTAAGCGTCTCTTGGCGCGAAAACATAAGAAATTCAAAATTTCAGTAATAAATTACAAAATTAGGACCTTTTCCAAGTGAGTTCAGGGGATCTAATGTCCCCGACAAATTCTGAACTATCAGATCATATCATATTCATTACTTACTCTAGTCTTAATACAAAACTGGGCTATTTTTTTTCGAAAATTCTTTCAAATACTGACGTATACTAATTTTGTTTAATTTTCAGTTCATATGTTGATTTGGATGATGATTTAAATTTGATGATCGATCGAGAACTAGTTCTTGTTGAAGGTGAAGATTGGGAGGCTGGCAGTCAATTATCTGCACCGGAACGAAAGTAAATACATTGTTATGTTTTAATTTTCTGTTCATTTTCATGCTTTTCTAATTTTATTGAACTGGTGAATATGTTAAGTCAACTTGAAAAACACTAGTTGTTTCAATGCATACATCGTTTACTGTCTAAACTAATCGATCAGTTAATTAATCAAGAGCAACCTAGAATCTCATACGTAAGTACATCAGTTCAAGTTAACACAGAGACGCATTTGTCGATTCAAATCCAATAGTAGTAGAGGTAGTAGTGGTATTAGCAGTAATCGGAGAGATCAGGGTACGAAGATGTTATTCAAGAAGTAGAATCTAGTGAAATAGACCCAAAAAGAAAAAGATAAAGGTGATGAGGAACTCAGAAGGTTAGAACTTGAGCGAACACAAAAAGTGGATGCACTTGCGCCATTGCAAACGGTTTTAAGCCATGTTATTCAAGATCTCTAACCATTGATTACTATCATCTCGTGGACCCCAACCAGGTAGTTGACACCTACAAACATGACTCAGTTCACTTGTCAGTGACTTCATGGATTTGTGCCATGTTTTGGTTTGGCCGCCCCCAGCTTTCTTCCAACCTACTCCTACATCACAAAACATAACTCGACGAGGCAGTTAGTGGGGTTAGGCCTACGCAACATATGTTCAAACCACCTCAACTAATCAGTCAACTATGTTGCATTCTATTCGTTAAATCAAACTGCACTGCTCCATATTAGTGTTAAAAATTTGTATTATTGTCTACTTGAATGTATAAAGTAATATCTTGCAGATTATTAACAGGATGAAGCTATGAAATATGATGTTCATATTTCTGTGAAATACAAATCATTAGATTTTTCAAACCCAATTAATTCAAAACGGTAAATATTTATTCCTAACTGACTTACTGACAGTTACAAGATGTAATACAACCTAAATTCTTAGCTTCTCATAGATAGTTTCTAAACAGTAAACCCTAGATTAATCAGAGTTAGACATTCACACCGTAGGATGTTGGCTCAATAGTCTAGAAGTTAGCTGTTCGTGCATCATCATACCGGGGAACCTGGGTTCTGTTCTTCCGAGTAGCAGGAGTCGTGGATGCTCAGTACTGATAAGTCCCATGTCAGGAAGAAACGGCCGTCTTTCAGTGCTTGTGGGTTTCTAATTCTGGTAGTCTAACAATGATTGATTCATAATTTCACTAATCACAACAGTTAACTTATTATGAACTGTTAACAGTAACTGATATTTATCAAGTAAAAGAATTTTCTTTTGATCCTCAATAGGATAAAAGTTAATGACTGATAGTTTCAAAATTTAAAATTACTTAGATACACATACTTGAAACTGATAAATTTGAAAACACTTCCACAAATATCGCACATAACGAAACATTTCATTTTTTAACGATGATATCTTTGGTAGTAAAGTTTCAAATCGAAGATTTTCAGTTCAGTATAAATACCTTACTTAACTTACTTACTTACTTACTGACGCCTGTTACTCCGAATGGAGCATAGGCCGCGCCGACCAGCATTCTCCAGCCTAATCTCTCCTGGGCCTTCTTTTACAGTTCTATCCAACTGTAGTGAACGGGAACACAGGTGGGGCAACCGGATTGTATTTATAGCAAATTACAGAGTTACTCAGTAAAATCGGAAAACCATATTGTAAATCGTTAATTTGCAAAATATCAGTTCATCATATCGAACTGAACTGTTCCTGTTGCAAAACATCAATCCATTGTCACTATTCACGCGTTTCATACATATTCCATTGTGTTCTAACTCTTCCTTTCTTGATCTTCCCCCATCTTCTGCTGCCAGACATTACGTTGACACTCACGTCATATACTACTTATAAGTAGCTCACACCACACAACTGCTGTTCATTTTTCTCATGTTTTTGTATTCAGTCCTCGACGTAATGTATTCTTCAGTCTTCTTCCTTTCCTTTGGCTTTGAGGGTTCCAAGTGAGGGCTTGTCTTGTGACACAGTCGAGTGCCTTCCTCAATGTGTGTACTATCTATGATAAATTATTGATTAAAAGTATGATGTACCTTACTAACCAAATAGAAAAATCTGTGTACTTGTTCGATTATGGGTTAGCTTTTCTATGTTTGATGTTGACAGTTATTTGTAACTAAGTTTACATTTTTGGAATAAGCAAACTATTCTTTGTATGTAATCAAAAATTATTGACGTTTATTGATATTATCGATAACTTAATATCAAATTGGCAGGTCAACAGAAATCTGTTTTGTTTTTTTACGAATTGAATGAAAGACATATTATTTTGTTTAAATTGTGATGTTGGCATAAATAAGAAATTTCAAAATAATTATTTGTGTGTGTGTGTGTGAATAAAAATCAGCATAAATAATAATGTACTATGGAAAATATGTACAATTTCACATAGTACTTGTCAACAATTAAGTAGTATGATTAGTTTTATTAAATTTTGGAAGTCTAGTAAGTTAATAGTAATTGATTTAGTTAAAAATCCATAGAAATTAACCATAGTTTGACTAAATTAATAAATAATTATGTAAAAAATTATGTTTAATTTATGAATACGAGTTATTTCATGGTTTTTACTGTACACGTTGGCTATTGAAAACAATGCATCAATCATTGTTAGACCACCATTAGAAACCTGTATGATGAAAAACATCGTAAGGTGTGCTCACTAGTGACTTACTTTGTGATGAAATTTTCAGAGGTTTAGTGAGAAGACATGACCAGTGAAGTTTAACCCTATTGGGTGTAGGCAATAATTATCAAACACAATTGGTTAGGTTGTACAATACCTTAGATTGATTAGAGTTAGTCATTAACACCGTTGGATGCCGTTTCAGTGGTTCAGAGGTTAGGCGTTCGCGCACAAGACCGAAGGTTTCGATTTCTATTCCCGTTAGTAGCGGGAGTCGTGGCTGTGCACTTCTGATAAGTTCCATACTAACAAAAAATGGCCGTCTTTCAGTGCTTCCAAGTTTCTACTCGAATTGCAATCAATCTATGGTAAACATCACTTATAACCGACCGTAGTTGATACCTTGACGTGGTGGTCGGGCTTGCCTATCGTGATGATCCAACCGAGCTATATTGGCTGGAACATATGTTCCTGAATGTTTTACCATGCCAGGCTGGTCGATTGGAGAATGATGAGACTAAAAGCAGCTACTCAACGTCTGAGGGCGAAGTCGTACTGCTGACTGCAGAGGGGTGTGACAGCAGTAAGGTGTTTCCCTCGGACAACCAGCATCTGCAGCGATGCTGCCTTCTCACAAGGAAGGAAGGGTTAGAAAAGATCGACCGTAAAAATGTCACGCCTTACGGATTTCCGTCTCCGGCGGTAAGGGTACCCATTAAGGGCTTTCAAGAGCTGAGCTAATACTAAAAAAACCTTTCGTAAAAAGGTCGTGCGTGACCGGCCTCAGTCAGTTGTCCCCTGGGCTCTGCGGTCACGCACCCAGATCTCTAAGACCAACACTAATCTATCTTCCTTTTCAAGTTCTTCAAGAAATAACCTTCCACGTTGTAGGCAGCCGGGAAGTGACAACCGCCCTCATACCCGTAACAGCACGAGAGACCAAACTGGCCAAAATCAAACATCACTTATAAATGTTATCAAATTACTTTAATCTGATCTATTCCATTAATCTATAATTAGGTGTGTGTGCCAAATAATTAAATAATTTTTTATCTTGTCATATTTTCTTACACAACAGAGATCCGCGTATTGCATCAATGCTTGGTCCAACAATCTACAAATCTAATCAATTTCAGGTTGTTTATTGATGTTTTACATTTGAAAATATTGATCATTTGATATAATAATAATAATAGTAATAATATTTATTCTCAAATAACAGTATGTTACAAGAGGTATGGTAGTTTACAGTCAGCATCAAATTGTCACAAATGCTATCTGTTACGCGTCCACGTAAACACGCCGTTTGATATGCTTGAACTATTACGATTTTACCTTGGTCGGAAAACGAGAGCGAGGATCGAAGATCCGGCAACACGACAGGCTACTCTAATCCAAGCATTCCAAACCCCCATTGAGTAAGAGAAGAAGACTTGATATGAAGTAGAACGTGTATTCTACAAGCATCCAGAAAGTACGAGCTCTGAGTCCAGAAGAGAATCAGGATCCAAGACTAAGTATCCGGTTCCGGGTCATAAAACGTTACAGATAATGCGCATTCATATAATTAGGTCGAATAGGAAACAACAGTGAAGTCTGTGACATTGACAGTTAGGACGACCAATGAGAAACAACATTTGAAGTGACATTGATAGTCAGGACTACCAATAGGAATCGACCAATAGAATTAGACTTACAAACAATCACGATATTCATCGAATATCCTAACACTATCAAATTTACTTTAAAAGTTATTGCAGTTAAATTAAATATAAGAGTCTGTTTCTGAATGCACATTTACACCATGTCACCGATACAGCCACACTTTCAATAAGTGAGTACAAATAGGAAAGGTACACACAGTAGAGGTCTTGGATAGTTTGCATAGATCAGAATTGACTTTGTCGGGATAGGTTAATTGGAAAGCGCTTGATACAAGCTGTGATCTAGGCATGTGTGTACATAAGGTGCATTTTGCCTAGAGGCGCCATGGATGTTCCCCTGTGAATAGGATTCTAAGAAGGGAGAAAAAGGCAGCAACGAGGCAATTGCATACATATATATATATATATATATAACCAGAGCATTGCTCAACCTTTCATGGTGAAGTAGACAATGCAGTGGTAAGTGAAGATAAAATTCATACTGATCACTAAAATTAAAGTAAGTTGTAGTAAAGCAATGAAAAGGGAAGGATTTTGGAATGTGTCAAGTGGATAGAAGAGAAGTTGAAGTAAGAAGCTGGGGATGTCTGCATATAATTGCTGTTTTTTCGTACGTATCATTAACAATTTACCAGAGTAATTGAAAATGAAAGGCAATTAGATATTGCGAAGTCAACCTTTTACTCTTATATGACAACATATAAGAGTAGATTTAAGCTAAAGAAGTACACTTGTTTTCGTATTTTCTTAAAAGAATGTAATATCGTTTATTTTGTATTTGTGTGGTTGAGTTACTATTATGATTAAAAAAGATAATTAAAGTTTCCGATTATTGATTAGTTTGCGCATATCGTCTATTGGATCGATGACTCAGTGACCAATGAATAACGATTCCAATCCTTAACTCTTATTGGTCTATTAACTATTTTCACCTTCATATTCGATCCAATGGTTAAGTTAGAAAGTAATTATCTAATTTTGTACTTCATTTACTTATGATGTAAAGCTCATACAAGTACCTGAGTGTATAGCAAATGTAAACAGGAAAATAAGACGAGTTTTTGACAACGTAACAACTAAGATGAATTAAACAATAGCTCTGTCATCAGTGAACAATTACTTTTGGGAGGTAAAGCATATAATAACAGATTATGCATCCTCAATAGAGAGCATTCACTCATTTGATAATCAGACAATAAAAATACAAACTATGATCACTTGTGGAATACGATACTTGCCCTAGTCTATTCAAAATATCCACTTCGTAGACGCCCAACTTCGAGATCAACAGGCCGGATTTCGTAAGGATCGATCGTGTACTGACCAAATTGATACATTACGGATCATTGTGTAACAATCAATTGAATGGAACTCACCACTCTACATCAACTTCATCGACTACGAGAAAGAATTCGATAGCGTTGATAGGAAAACACTGTGGAGGCTTCTTCGACACTACGATGTGCCTGAGAAAATAGTCAACATCATACGGAATTCTTATGATGGATTCAACTGCAAAATCGTGCACGATGGACAGCTGACAGACTCTTTCGAGGTGAAGACCGGTGTGAGGCAAGGTTGCTTACTCTCACCCTTTCTCTTTCTCCTGGTCATCGACTGGATTATGAAAACGTCGACATCTGGAGGGAAGCACGGTATCAACTGGACAGTTAAGACGCAGCTGGACGATCTGGACTTTGCAGATGACCTGGCTCTTCTATCGCACAATCAACAACAAATGCAAGAGAAGACGACCAGTGTAGCAGCAGCCTCTGCAGCAGTAGGTCTCAACATACATAAAGGAAAAAGCAAAATTCTCCGATGCAACACAACATGCACCAACCAAATCACTCTTGATGGAGATTCTTTGGAGGACATTAACACCTTTACATATCTGGGCAGCATCATCGACGAGAAAGGTGGATCCAATGCAGATGTGAGGGCGAGTATTGGCAAAGCAAGGAGTGCATTTCTACAGTTGAAAAATATCTGGAACTCCAAACAACTTTCAATCAATACCAAAATCAGGATTATCAATACAAATGTGAAGACAGTTCTACTGTATGGAGCGAAAACATGGAGAACTACTAAAGCCATCATCCAGAAGATACAAGTGTTTATGAACAGTTGTCTACGCAAAATTCTTCGGATTTGTTGGCCAGACACCATCAGCAACAACGTACTGTGGGAGAGAACAAGTCAGATTCCAGTGGAAGAGGAAATCAGGAAGAAGCGGTGGAAGTGGATAGGACACACATTGCGGAAAGCACCTAACTGCGTCACAAGACAAGCCCTCACATGGAACCCTCAAGGCAAAAGGAAAAGAGGAAGGCCCTAGGAACACATTACGCCGAGAAATAGAGAAATACATGAGAAGAATGAACAAAAGTTGGACAGAACTGGAGAAGGAAGCCCAGGACCGAGTTTGTTGGAGAAAACTGGTGGACGGCCTATACTCCATTGGGGGTAACAGGCGTAAGTAAGTAAGTAAGTAAGTAAATCAAAATATCCAGTCAACGTGAAGTTCAAATCTGTTCAAATTACGGTCTTTAAGGAAAATAGTTTATAAAACAACTTTTGAATATGAATACTTCCTAGTTGTTCTAATATTCACCCTACTGGTTAATTCTGAAAACAATGAACCAAACAGTGAATAACATTCATCTCTGATTGACCAGTACATATCACTTTGACAAAAAAATTCAACGTAATATTCGTCCTGTTTTCTGTTAACTATGTATATCGTTAGCCTTTTTGAAATATCAGGTTTGTTGATTTTGATTACTGGTTAATGGTATATTTGGCATGTTTACATAAATAATCGATACCAGTTTGAGTGATGACGTTTGACATTATTAGGATATGTATTCATCCGCGATTCTCTGTTGGTTCGGACGTCCTCATTTTTTCCCCGATCGATGGACTTACCTGTTGCGATAATGAACATGCTGTTAAAACTTATTGTAAAATATCTTATGATTAAATTATTTACAAAATCTATAAAACCAGTCATTTAATATAATTTACATGTTTTAATATTAGAGTTTATTAGAGTTACACTACTCTTAATTCTAATAAGTAGTATAAATAAAATTATCTAAATTATAATTCATCACTTTTCAGCTTGGAATTAATGTAGTCGAAGCTAGAAAACTAGTTGGAACTAATATTAACCCAATGATTACAGTGACCGTTGGAAAATCTGTACAGAAAACAGTTACTAAATATTCAACGAATTGTCCATTTTATGATAATTATTTTGCATTTGATTTTTCTCGACCTAAAATTAGTGTACTAACTGAAGTCATTCGTATTCGAGTAAGTTAATATAATTCACTGATTTTTTTATGGTAGTTAGTTCAGTTTATACTTGATATTCATTTGTCATATAGTTTTGATTGTAGGTTTGGCTACAAAAAACGTTTTGAATAACCAATGATACTGAATAGCTGATTATCATTGGTTATTCAGATACTCTGGGGAGTCTCATCAGCGCTGATAGCCTGGTGACTGACGAAATCTCAACGCGGATACAGAAAGTTCGATCTGCTTTTGCCAATTTACGCTGTTTATGGCGTAGGCGAGATATCCTTTCGCTAACCAAAGTACGAGTGTACTGCGCAGTAGTTCGCTCTGTCCTATTATACGGATGCGAAACATGGCAGTTAAGAGTAGAAGATGTTCGTATTCGATCATAGATGTCTTGGAAGCATTGCTCGTATACCGTGGGACAACCGAGTAAGCAATGCTGTCGTTAGAAAACGAGTTTTAGGTAAGGATGACAGATCAATAGATGAAGTAGTGTAACTTCATCATTTGAGGTGGTTGGGACATGTGTTGTGTATGCTCAACCACCGACTGCCTCGAAACGCGATGTTTTGTGATGTAGGATTAGGTTGGAAGAAGGAAGGGGCAGCCAGACCAAAACATGGCACAAATCCATGAAGTCACTGACAAGTAAACTGAGTCATGTTGGTAGATGTAGACTACCTGGTTGGGGTCCGCGAGACGAAAGTCACCAATGGTTAGAGACCTTGAACGACATGGCTCCAAATCGTTTGCAATGATCCACGTGCATCCATTCGTTGTGCTCTCGCAAATCCTAATCTTCTGGATCCGTCAACACTTCTACCTTTGTCTTTCTAACATTATCTCACCGAATTATACTTCTTGAATAATTTCTTCAAACCTTAGTCTTCTCCATTAATACCTCTACCATCTCTATCACTATGGGATTTGATTTGATATGTGCGTCTCTGTGCTAATGTGGTATGGCGACCTGAACTTATTTACATACGTACGAAGTTCTACGTTGCAACTGACTGACTATACTGAATAGCTAGTTTTATTCCGATTTCAGTTATCTTGGTAGTGTGGAAACGTGACCGCATGAAAGATCCATTGTATAAGATTTATGTCACGCCAAAAGCAGGACAATTTAAACCACTAAGCCGAAAATAAAAATAGCCCAAATTTCAGTTGCTTCTACTATATGCTATGATTAATATTTTTAGTGGGCTGCGTTATGTTCGTTGTCGGGCTAACCATTTTAGTGGCTGCGTTAAATTTCGAAGTAGGGCTCACCAGTTCGGTAGCCCAAAATGACCCCAACATTTATGAATATTTAAATATCTTATGGAATAAATTTCCCATTCAGTTTCCGTACATCATACTTAGGCGAACCCCGTTTGTGCAATGGCGGTAATATGAAGCCAAATACAGATTCGGTCGGATGAGTTTATTTCAGGCAGTCGTTCATACAGACAGACATGAGAATACTGAACGTTAAAGTAAAGAGAAGTGAAGTGGAGACAGTGGACTAGCGAGATGAAGCATGACTAGGTATCTATAGTCAGACAAAAATAAGCCAGACATTCAATGAGCAGAGTAGGCAGTACACACATACTCAAATGAAAATAATCAAGGTTGCAAGACGCGTAAATAACCTGCAAATAATAGATCAGTTAATCTGTCCGAAGGCCCTGTTGGCTCGACATAAAAGTACACACACTGCACATTCAATTCTAACAATTGACAATTCCCTTGCTCCTAGTGTAGATGATTCATATAAGTCAGTGCTTCTACAAAATCTGTTTTATATATCATTTACAAGTATACACATAGCTGAATATTATTTTCAAAGATTTCTGGCGGGAAAAACAATATTTCAAATACCAAATAGGTCATTTTTATTGTTATATTAGTTGTTAATCCATTCTTCCCGAGTTCTTATTCATTCGTCTTTTGACCTTGTCAATTATTTGATCATACTTTGGTTGTTGTTAATCGAGTATGTGTCCGCTGATTACTTCGCTTATTACATGTCTGGCTTATTATTGTGAGCCACTAAAGTAAAGAAGAACTCTAATTCGAATCTAACGCAGCCACTAAACTTTCATACCTTAATTCAGATAACAGATAGTGCAGTTACAAGTGTGGTGTGAGCTACTTATAAGTAGTATATGACGTGAGTGTCAACGTAATGTCTGGCAGTAGAAGATGGTGGAAGATCAAGAAAGGAAGAGTTAGAACACAATGGAATTTGTATGAAACGCATTAATAGTGACAATCGATTGGTATTTTGCAACAGGAACAGTCCAGTTCGATATGATGAACTGATATTTTGCAAATGAACGATTTACGATATGGTTTTCCGATTTTACTGAGCAACTCTGTAATTTTCGTTAAATAAAATCCGGTCGCCCCAACTGTGTTCTCGTTCACTACACAAGAACACTTAAGATTCGACAAAGTTTATAGGCAGTGTAATGATCACTTGTCAATATATTTGAATCTGAATCAAATTGGAGAGTTAGTTGTCGTTTCAGTGAATTAATTAATATACAGCGATTTCAAAGATTGAATAACACATTTATATAATGTCTGATGAAATGTACATCTTTATTTTTTATGTTGTTAGGTATTTAATATGCGATCTCATCCATTAGCACGTCTATTACCTGGTAAATTGGTTGGTGAATTTGTTACAGATGTACAAACAGTTTACAATGAAAAAGGTATGTTTTTATTTTTTATTGTTTTGGTTGATTCTTATCGAAACGTCCAACTAGAATATGACGAATGAAACCAAAGATTCGTCTGAAGAATAGTTCTTTTATGAAAGGGATGTTATATATACATAAATTTGTTACAAACCTTAACTCTCGAGGTGTCTGCGGTCGTTTAACGTGTCTGAATGTTTGGAAAAAGGATCCTATTAAAAGCGTAACTGATAACTGTGGCCGTTTAACGCGTCGGTATGTTTAGAAAGAGGACGGCGTTAAAAGAGTAAATGACAGATGATGTTAACAACAGTTTATCAGTAACCAAAAAAAAGCAATAAAAGAATACTAGCATGAAAGATGGTGTGTTAAAAGCAGAAATGTGGGAGAAATTGTTAATGATAATCAATAAAGTGAATGTTATTAGTCTATGTAAATACTTCATGAACTCACACGAAGAATAAACGTATGTTGCACCATACATTCAGAAATTCTTAAAAATAAAACTATTTACTGAATTTTAACAAATAGTATAAAATAATACGCTAAAAAAATGAATGGATTGAGAAGAAACTCAGGACAGAGAATGTAAACGAATTAGTTTCGATGATAATTTATGGATTCTCGAAACACATACTTGTTTTTAAACTAAGTATATTACATAAGATGTTACAAAGCATGGTGTAAAGTAAAATAGACAGTATTTTGACAATCATCAGTGTCAATGTTGGATTATGTAAATTTACCTTTGAACTACGATGAAAAGTAAACTGGTTACAGTTTGGTTATCTGTCTACAATAAAGTGTACTTTATAGTACTACAAAGGCTGCTTCTTGGTGAAATAATGTGGCAGTGGTCTCATAGGTAAGTTACAAGCTTTTACTTGGTAAGGGAACAAGTAATCCAGTTTTGTTGCATCAAATTTAGCGGTTGAGAGGCTTTCGATGCAATCAACTGTCTGTGTACACTAATGTTGGTGACAAAAAGTTTAAAAATCTTATCAAAAACGGTTAAGTAAACTTTTCATAACCACTGTGATTGAAATGATTACTCATGAATAAAGATTTTCATGTAAATGTAAGCTGTGGGCTTCTACTGATTATACCTCGTATTGTTTGTAAACACCATTTAGTTTAACGAAATCGTTGATTTAGTTTTGTTATAGTGATTCTGACCCTAAAAAGACGACTAAATCTATCAGCTATATGAAGCCAGAGTTATAAAACGATTAATGGAAGGGGATTTGAAGAAAATTCACATCCTCCGGTCAAAAAGTGAATAAAACGATGGAGTAATTTGTATGTCTATCCATGTCTATCCATGGATCTCCAGTCCACTCATGGTGTGATGGATACTACTTGCAGCATGAATTGTTAGTAGTATTCATCGGAGTGTCGTCTAAAAGTTAATACTGAAGAAAAGAGTTTCGGATCCGAAGATATATAACGTGATGAAAGTGTTTTTAAGCTTAGAAGACACGTAAAAGAAGATAGCTAATAAACAGCTTGTTATACAAATAGAAATCTGAAGATGAGGTGCATGAAAGGGTTGTAGAGATTGTTGAGTTACTTTTTGAAATCATGAATCGATCAATGATAGATCGGCTCAGTAGTCCAGGGGGTAGGCGTTCGCGCGCAAGATCGATGAACCCGGGTTCGGATGCTGTGGGTAGCAGGAGTCTTCAGTGCACACTGCTGATGGGTCCTTTACCAGAATGAAACGGCTGTTTTTCAGTGCTCCCAGGTTTCTAATGGTTGTCTAACATGAATCGATTTATGATTTCATAAAGATAAGATATTCATATTTTGCTAGTAAACTGTGTCTTAGTCAAATGTCCGATTTATTCCTTTATTACAATGGTAGCATTTAACAACTAAATTCACACTGATTTAGATTTTTTACTAATCATCTAGAAATTGGAAACTAATTAACCTAGAAGTACCATACTTCAATACCTTAACGAATTAAAGAACGCAAGTCTGTAACATCAGAAGGTAGAAATTCGATGAATCAACTGTGAAATCCAATGGACATTAGATAATGAGTTGTATCAGTTACTCACTGATGTTCTGAGTGAAACATTGACTCCCCTGTTATGATTTGACCAAGATCAAAGTGTGATCCAGTGAGTGTGCTGAATCATATCGCGAAAAATTAAACTCCCTAAAAATTGCCAAACTGAAACTGAACACTAACTTGCTTAACTTGTATTTTGATTTCCATTGGTTCTATAAGAAATATCGATTTGTAGTGGAAATTCACTTTGAATCACACAGAACCGTATGATCAAATGGAAAAAACAGGTGGTTATTTTCTACATTTGACGTTTAAAAAACTTCATTTTCAACTGTATTTTTATTCTTTACATTAAAAAAACAAACAGATCATGCAGTATTGAATAAATGGGCAGTAATGATCGATCCCCGAGATCCATGGAAAGGTCCTACAGGTTATGTAAAAGTTGATATGCATGTCATAGAAGAAGGGCATCAAGTTAAAGTAAGTGTAGGTTTATGTAGATACTTTTTTGTATTGTTCATAAATGTGGAATTTTATGCAAAAATTATTCTGAATATCAATAAAATTCTTGACAAAAAATGTTTTTTTAAGTAACACTAGTTTAATCCAAGTATATGACAGAATCAATCAAGATTGAGATCAAGGTCATTGTTATGCACGCACGTAAACACGTCAATTGATATGCTTGAGTTTACGACAGTTGGAAAACGAGAGCGAGGATCGAGCAACACGACAGGCTACTCTAATCCGAGCTTTCCAAATCCCCATTGGAGCAAAGGAAGAAGAATTGAAATGAAGTAGAACGTGTATTCTACAACCACATAGAAAGTACGAGGTCCGAGTCAAGAAGAGAATCAGGATTCCGGACTAGGGATCCGTGTTCGGTTCGGGTCATAAAACGAACGTTAAAGATAATGCGCATTCATACAGTTAGGTTGAATAGGAAACAACAATGAAATCTGTGACATTGACAGTTAGGACGACCATAATATTGACCAATAGCATTAGACTTACAAAAATAATTCTCTTAGGATATTAGATGAAAATTACAGAGTTACTCAGTAAAATAGGAAAACCATATCGTAAATCGTTCATTTGCAACATATCAGTTCATCATATCGAACTGGACTGTTCCTGTTGCAAAACATCAATCCATTGTCACTATTCATGTGTTTCATACAAATTCCATTGTGTTCTTCTAACTCTTCGTTTCTTGATCTTCCCCCTTCTTCTGCTGCCAGACATTATGTTGACGCTCACGTCATATACTACTTATAAGTAGCTCACATCACACTAAGAGTTATGGCTTGCATATGAAACAATGTACTTAACTTGTGATTGTTTAATGAATAATTTCAGTGAGATATAAATCAGTGTATTTTTTAGATTAAAGTTTAGAGTTTACAAATATAGGATTAAAATTTGGTGTTTAGGTTAGGCTGTTTAAGAAATAGTTTTAATCTTACCTGTAGTTATTGAGGTAACTTCAATCACTTTTGGCCACAATTAGTGTACCAAAGACTAGAGAATATGAAATTGGTCAATAATCAGTGATTCGAAACAGTGGTTCCCTTTGATAGATTTGAATAGAGAAATAAGAAGACATATTTTGTGAGATAGTACCATTTCGTGCTTTCTCGTCAGTCACATACAAGCAACATGTTATTTGTGTAAATACAGTTTTGAAGATAAGGTCAAAATTTCTTATTTAGCACGAGATTCACTCACTAGAATCATGGGAAACAAAGGTCAACATACAGTTAGTTGTTTTTGAACACATAAAGTTGGACTTTTCCGACCAATCAAGATAGCTTCGAGTAGTTTGAGTGTGTGTGTGTGGGTTTTGATGACATGTCACAACTCAAAAGGCTGATTTTGGGTCAATTTGATGACCACTCATCATTAGATGTTTTGCAATGGACGGGCTGGGTTTCTTGATCGATCTTGAGATGACGGGCTAGGTGGTGGATGAATCATGGATTTGATTAACCATTTTGGAATATGTTCTCCTATCCTGTCTTTCAATCGGCGATCTGTCCTCCCTAAGTAACTTTCTCTGCAGTTACATGTGAATCGGTAAGTACGGTGGGATTTGGACTGAATCGGTCATGGAGACTTGATTGGGGTAACTGAGATCGATTGGGTTGTTGTGATAAGCCTCAGATTAGCTGCATTGAAGGTCTTTTTTATTGCAGCTGCAGTCTGTTTGGTTGTAATTTTCATGCAATGATCACCTTTGAAAGGTAACTGTAGGTACACTGGTTTCTTGCGTACATCAGTTGCTATCAGCTTCGTCGTAGTTGTGTTCTGATGACCAATAAACGTTTCGGGATGGTACTATCTCACAAAATATGTCTTCTCATTTCTCTGTTCAAATTTATCAAAGGGAACCACTGTACTGAAAACAAATTTCATATTAGTGAAGAACTTCTTACCTCTGGATAAACTAGAAAACAAAATGATCTACAGACAAGTTTTCACATATCTAATACATTTACAACTATCTTCACTGTTCTCCCTTTTATAAGGTGTACTAACTATCGTAATGCACCAGTATAAATTATCAGATAAGATAGAATTTCAAAAAACAAAAAATCATTTTCAATCAAGGATTGATCATTGATCATTGATCAATAAATAGTAAAACTCGAATAACATTTTCATTGAATGAAAAGTTTATTACTGAGCCGGTATCTAACGGTGTTAATGTCTAACTTGATCGAATTCACGGAGTTGCGCAACCTCATACACAGTCTTCGGTATTAGTTACTGTCTACACCCGAACGGGTTGAACTTCACTGGTCACGTCTTCACCACTAGAACTCAGAGAAGATTCCTCACGAAGCTAGTCACTAGTGAGCACAGGTAATTTGCATTACGGGATTGTGAAGATTGTTAAGTTACACATTTTTGAAACCATGAACCGATCAATGTTAGACCACCATTGGAAACCTGTGAAGTAATGCCCACACAAGACAATGGATGAATTCGCACAAGACCGTGGATTGATCAAAGTTAGACATTAACACCGTTGAACCCCAGCTCAGTGGTCTAACACACGAGACCAAGAATCCTGTGTTCGTTTCCTGCGAGTAGTGGCCGTAGATGAGCGCTGCCACTAATGAATCTCATACTAGGACGAAACAGCTGGCTTCCAGGTGTCTGATGATGGTCTAACATTGATCGATTCATAATTTCAATAACTTTTACTGTTAGTTGTATTTCATACAAAAAATGCTTAACTTTTTTTTCTGAACAAAACTTTTAGAGAATTCGAAGAGAAAGATCTGATCATGATGAGATCATTGAAAAGTAAGTTTGAAACTGAGTGTTTTCTATTAAATTATTAGTCAATATAACGATTCAGTAATTCTCAGTTGTAACAACATTCAACCAAAAGTGTAGAATTCAATTTGTAAAACAACTCATTGAGTTGTAATCTTTGCAGAAAATATGATTTAAACTCAGTCATAGAATGATACAATCTTATACAATAATACTGTAAATGTGGAATCGATCAAGAAGTTTAATTCTCATTATTTCATTTAATTACTTACGCTTATTATTATCCCACACTGAGCACAGATCGCTGACAACCATTCTCCAGCCTACTTTCTCCTGGGCCTTTTTAATTCTACCCGACTACAGTTTATTTTTCTTATGTCTGACTCTGATTCTCGACGTTTTATATTCTTAGGTCTTCCTCTTGTTCTTTGGTTTTGAGGGTTCCAAGTGAGGGCTTATCTTTTAACGCGCAATTGAGTACTTCCCTCAATGTATGTTCTGTCGACTTCCAGTGCTTCTTACTGATTTCTTCCTCCACTGAAATCTAGTTTGTTCTCTACCACAGTAGATTGTTGCTGATAGTGTTTCGCCAGTAGATCTTCAGTATTTTCTGTAGACAAGTGTTAATAAACACTTGTATCTTGTGGATAATGGCCATTGTAGTTCTCCAAGTTTTCACTCCGTACAGTAGAACTGTCTTGACATTTGTGCTGAAAATTGTGACATTGGTTGGTTAACTGATAGTTCCAGATGTTGTTCAATTGTAGAAATGCTGCCATTGTATTACCAATCATAACCTGCAAGTAAAATCATATACATAATTATAAATGATTGTTTTATTTTGGGGCAGAATTTTGGAGGTTTGCGTTTTTACACATTTGAAATCATCAATCAATCATTGTTAGACCACTATTAGAAACCTGGAAGCACGGAACGGCCGTTTCGTCCTGATATGGGACTCATCATTGACAATGCGCATCCACGACTCCTGCACCTCGCGGGATTCGAACCAGGGACCTTCCGTGTTGTGCGCTAACGCCTAACCATCGGACCACTGGGCCGGCATCCAACGGTGTTAATGTCTAACTCTGATTGATCTAGGGATTTTGCGCGACCTCACCCGTTTGTCTTTGGTAGTCACTGCCTACCAGCCCAGTGGTTCAATGGTAAGGCGTTCGCCTACAATGCCGAAGGTCCCGGGTTCGCAGGAGGAGCAGGAGTCGTGGATGCGCACTGCTGATGAGTCCCATACCAGGACGAAACGGCCGCCCAATGCTTCCAGGTTTACAATGGTGATCTAACAATGATTGATTGATGATTTCAGATCGTTTTATTGACAATTTGTATTCATAATCTACACTAATAGTCAGAAATTTACAATATCTGTCTAGTACAGATTAATTTAAATTCAGTTAGACTTGTTGAACTCCAAAGCTACTTTGATTTGACTACAAACAAATGTTTAGAAATCATGTGTATAACTGAAAATATCACATAGAAAATTATAAAAACTAAAGTTTTAAATTTGCCAACTAGCGCATAGAAGGGAAGTTTTTTTCAGTCTAAAAGAAATTTTATACTTTTTCTGGTATCGCTGTGCTTAAATAATCAGAGATTTTCTATTAACTATGGTTGAATGGTGAATTTTTCACTCATTCATTCAGTTACAACGTAGAACTTCGTACGTACGGACATCAGTTCAAGTTGTCATACCACATTAGCACAGATACGCAAATGTCAAATCAAATCTCATAGTGATAAAGATAGTAGAGGTATTATTGGTAATGAAGAAGACTAAGGTTTGAAGATATAATTCAAGAAAGTATAATTCAGTGAGATAAGGTTAGAAAGACAAAGGCAGAGGTGCTGACGAATCCACAAGATTAGGATTTGAGAGAGCATAACGAATGGATGCACTTGCGCCATTGCAAACGATTTTGAGCCATGTCGTTCGAGGTCTCTAACCATTGGTTACGATCGTTTCGCGGATCCAAACAAGTTAGTTTGCATCTACCAACATGACTCAGTCCAATTGTCAGTGACTTCATGGATTTCTGACATGTTTTGGTCTGCCCGCTACTAGCTTCCTTCCAACCTACTCCTACACCACAAACATCACTCGTCGAGGCAATCGGTGGTTGGGCATTCGCAACACATGTCCCAATTACCTCAAAACATGTGTTAATTAGTTAATGGTTAATCAGTTTAAAAACTGATTTAAAACTGTAAAACAATCTATGATAAGATTATATTACTCAAAATATTTAATTATTCGTTACTTCACAGTGTTCTTTCAAATCATAATACTGATCAGATTTAATCACAATCTCATACTATTCTAGATCAAACCGATAAGTGTTCAATTATCAATTCAATTTGAAATAGTTTGGATTATCTCATTATTGATATTTTCATGGAATATTGATCAGTGCTCATTGATATTTGGGCATTGTTATAATTCTCTCTTGATCACAACCCACCTATTCCTAATGCTTAGTATTCTCGGACACCAATCCACTCGAAACGTCTCCTCCCCCAGAATCAGAACACAGTTGAACAGGAAATAGATTATATTCCGATAACATGGTTAAATGGAAGACAGAAGGTACAAAGGAAAAAGACGTTAGAATATTTATAGTTTTGTTACTTGAGAAGATTCTAGAATGTTCCCTCAGTGTTGGCTAGCGCTGATTGGATACGAAAGAGCTAATCAGCGTTCAATAACACAATCTATGTCCCACTAACAGGCATCCAATGTAGAATGCCACGAGATAGCTATTATGATACTAGATTTTTTGTAGAATAGTCAATAACGCGATGGCGTTCAAAGCAGTTAGTACAGGGTTCGAGTCCCTGAGTGAGCATCAAATTTAAGATGTGTGTATATCTAGTTGATGAGTCCTAGATACAATGGATTGTGCATCCTGAACTTGACTGCTAGTCCCCAATTCTATATTCAGTCATTAAATAATTTAACAAACTGTTGGGGATGTTGGAGATCCCCAAAACTCGCTTGATAAATGCCTTAATTTTGGATTTCATGTTTGCCAGCATGGTCTGATCAGTTGGTGACCTTGAGATTTCTTTTCCCACCCAGGAAAATCCATGGCTGTGATTTTCTGCCGTGTATTTTGGTGTGCTAATTTTTGGGACTGTCCCAAGGAGGTTTCTATGATGCATAAATAAACGAGAGTTGTATGCTTGATTGCATTGTGTGATTGCTGGGTGTTTGTAGAATATACTTTCTACGCTTACAAAGCCTTTTATCTTCAGTTTGGGATTCAAGGTTGCCTACCTGGACTCTGATTAATTGTCTCGTTGGCGTTTATCGACTAAGGTGAACCCCTAATAGCTTCAAGCGTACCTAGTGACGAACCCTACACAAACGTAATCAACACCATTCATTCAGATGCAAACATGTTTTTTTCTTTTTTCTAACCCCCTTTTTTTATTATACTTTCTAGTCATTTATTATTACCACGTTTTACTGGTATGACACAAAAACGTATTATGCTATCAATGAAAGTTAGCATATATCAAGCTGAAGATCTTCCACCAATGAATACAGAAATAAGTAATAAAATTCGTAAAGCATTTGTTGGTGAAAATACACCAAATCTTGATTCCTACGTTGAAATATCTTATGCTGGACATACAGTAAGTAGTTATTATTATTATTATTATTATTATTATTATTCTACATTTTGAATGTATTATGCTTTGAGTTCACTGGGCGTTTACACACTATTCACTTGTCTTTCAACCTTGTCTATCTGTGATTTGCTTATAGCCTTGGTTGTTTTAACTTTAGTGCATATGTTCATGCTTACTACGCTTAGGTTAGTTTTGTCAGACTGTAAGTAATTAATCAGGCTTTATTGTATGAAGTTGACTCAATCGCTCGATCCACTTTGCTTTGCTTTAGCTTTACACTTCGTATTCTTATATCTGTTTGTATGAATGATTCTGTGAAATAAATTCATCAGCGAAACCGTATTTGACTTCTGATCACTACTGTCCTCCAAACAGAGCTCACCCAAGTATGATATAAGGGAATTAAAAGGAAGAGTTATTTCATTACATTTTTAGTCGTTCGTACAAACTGGAGTCAAATCTGGGGCCACCAAAAATTCAAATCACATAGAATAGTTCCATGCACTCAGTTATGATTTATGCTTTCTGTGTGAAGAATCTAGTTATACTGTGCTAATTTTTAAACTAAAACAAAGTGAACGAAGTTCAAATCTATGATTTAATAACCAAAGGTCGAACACTTTAATCTGAATATCAGATTCACTTATGCTTTCTTTGAAAAGCATCAGAAATTCAAGATTTCTTTTGCGAAATCTACTCGATTTTTCCAATTATTGACAATTAGGCATTATTGAAATCATAAATCTGTCAATATTAGATCGCCATTAGAAACGTGGAAGCACAAGACGGATGTTTTACCCTAGTATGAAACTCATTAGCATACATGATTCCCCCAAGATGGAAATCGAACTCAGGAACTTTGATCTCTCTCAGTCAAACACTTAACCTCTAGATCACTAAGTCTACATCCAACTGTGTTACTTTTTAACTTCGATCCATTCATGATCTTTCTGTGTTGTGGATGTTAGATCCCCAGAACTCGCTTGATAAATGCCTTAATTTCGGATTTCATGTTTGCCAGCACGGGCTGATCAGTTGATCTTGAGATTTCATTTCCCACCACGAAAATCCATGGCTGTGATTGGTTGCTGTGTATTTTTTAGTGTGCTATTTTCGTAACTTTCCCAAGGACGTTTCTATGATGTATAAATAAACGAGAGTTGTGTGCTTGATTGTATTGTGATTGCTGGGTGTTTGTAGAAATATACTTTCTACGCTTACCAAGTCTTCTGTTTTGTAGTTTGGGGCTCAAGGTAGCCTACCTGGACGCTGCTAATTGTCTCGTTCACGTTTATCGACTAAGGTGAAATCGTAAAAAGCTTCAAGCGTACCAAGTGACGAACAGAACAGTGGCGATGGGGATCGGATCACATTGATCCTTTGAGACTTGAATTATTACCCGAGCAGCAGATGAACTAATGAAGATGTTGATGGATACCAAGCTGCATCGTGACACGACTATGGTGGATCAAGTCAATCTGACGTTTTGTATTGTATCTGTCAACTAACCAGAGTAGCTGTGCCCCCTGCTACATCCAGTCCACCTCACTTCAGCTCAATCCGATAGCCAATTTAAAATCAATCTGTTAGAATGGTTCAAACAGCTGACATTAGCAAACGTCCCATCAAGCATATGAGAAGAAGCCAAGCCGCTCAGAAGTACCCAAGACTGGTCCTTATCTCCACTCCAGAAATATCCTCCCCGACATCAGCAAACAACAGTCCAGATCCAAATAAACCGTCGTGTGTCTCTTCAATTTCTTCAGAGGGACGTGGTGTTAGGATATTCATCCGATAACCTTCAGCGATTGCTTGCAGGGGATAACTGTATCCTACTTGACACGGATTGAACTCCACCAGCCATTAGAACTCGTAGAAATTTCCCCGCAGAGCTAGTCACGAGTGAACATATGATAATTTTCATCATACGGTTGTGGAGATTGTTGAGTTTCATTGAAAGTATGAATCGATAGAAACGGTAGTAGTCTAATGCTTCCAAATTTGCAATGGTCATCTAACATTGATCAATTTTATAATTTTAGTGAATCTCAACAGACTCGCCAACCCTATGATGACAATTACCGCTTATACATAGATGAAAGTGATACGAACAAGTCTCATCAGCGCTGATAGCCTGGTGACTGACGAAATCTCAACGCGGATACAGAAAGCTCGATTCGCTTTTGCCAATTTAAGCCGTTTATGGAGTAGGCGAGATATCCGTTCGCTGACCAAAGGACGGGTGTACTGCGCAGTAGTTCGCTCTGTCCTATTATACGGATGCGAAACATGGCCGTTAAGAGTACAAGATGTTCGTAGGTTGCTAGTATTCTATCATAGATGTCTTAGAAGCATTGCTCGTATACCGTGGGACAACCGAGTAAGCAATGCTGTCGTTAGAAAATGAGTTTTAGGTAAGGATGACAGATCAATAGATGAAGTAGTGAAACTTCATCAGTTGAGGTGGTTGGGACATGTGTTGTGTATGCTCAACCACCGACTGCCTCGTCCAGCTATATTTCGCGGTATAGGGATAGGTTGGACAAAGCTAGGACCGACCAGACAAAAACATGACAGAAATCCATGAAGTCACTGACAAGTGAACTGAGTCATGTTGGTAGCTGTATACTACCCGGTTGGGGTCCGCGAGACGAAATTCACCAATGGTTAGAGACCTTGAACGACATGGCTCATAATCGTTTGCAATGGTGCACGTGCATCCATTCATTGTGTTCTCTCAAATCCTAATCTTCTGGATTCGTCAGCACCTCTACCTTTGTCTTTCTAACCTTATCTCACTGAATTATACTTCTTGAATAATATCGTCAAACCCTAGTCTTCTTCATTACCATTAATACCTTTACTATCTCTATCACTCTTGGATTTGATTTGACATTTGCGTCTGTCTATGCTAATGTGTTATGGCAATCTGAACTTATGTACATACGTACGAAGTTCTACGTTGCAACTGACTGACTGACTTACTGACTGATTTTTTAATGAAATCACTGGTTCATTATTTCTTACTATTTATTCTTCAATTATGTATGTTTTAGGCAAGAACTAAAACAGAACGATACAGTTATAATCCAATATGGAATGAAACAATAGAATTTTGTGATTATTTTCCCTCATTCACACGAACTATTCGAATTAATGTAAGAAATGGTGGAATCAAAGGTGAATTGATTGCTACACGTTTAATTGATATACGTGATATTATGTGTCATATAACTGGACGTAAGTTGAAAAATAATTTTTTTTATCACTCATTATGTTTTAATTTAATTTATTCTATAGTTACTTTATCGTTCATTGTTGGGCCACCATCCTTAGAAACCTTGAAGCATTGAAAAATGGCTGTTTCGTCCTTGAATGAGGCTTATCAGCAATGCGAATCCACAACTCCTGCTACTCGCATCGTTCAAACATAGGACATTCAGTCTCACTCACGAACATTTAACATCTAGACGATTGAGCTAACCGGCATCCAACGGTGTTATTGACTAACTCTGATCAATCTAAAAAGTTTGCACAAACTCACCCATTGTATATAATAATAACTACTGCCTACACCTGACATGGTTGAACTCTGTAGTGTGTCGATTTATTGCGTGTTCTTAAGTTCGGGCTAATTAGTTCGTCCAGACAATCGTTACTAAATAGCGTCTATCGGTTTATAAATCAGAAAGTGAACACAATGCGTTGAATACGTTTATTTTTGAACACACCATAAAGCGAAGCGGAGAAGCAGAGAATAAAACGAATGAAGCGACGTGAATTGGAGAAGGCTAATGAGCCAATTCCTAGGATTACAATGCAAACGAATGGGCGAAGGAAGCGAATGAACAGGTGGAGCGCTAATGAGCCAACTCCTTGAGATAGAGCGTGACTAAGAATATATAGTCAGACAAAAATAAGACAGACATATGATCAACGAGATAGGCATGCACACACATGAATAAAAGCGACGAATGATTGACAAGGTCAAATGACAAGTGGAACATGTCATGTGAGCTCATACAAACCAGACAATAGTAAGTACGAATGGTACATATAAATTGCTGCAATACAAATGCCTGCTTGGTTAAATAAATTAATCGTAAGGGCTTAACCAAATTAAATGTAAGCAAACTCGAATATATGTGCAGGCACTACAACTCCACTAGTCAAGTATTTCCATTTGACCGCTCAAACTGACATTAACATATATTTCATAGCCTCTATTTAGTTTCGATCATGAATAGTCCACTTCATTTGAATTATAAAACTGACTATTTATTGATATTTTACTTTCTTAGGCAATTTCCCAAATTTTGGACCATCATGGATTAATCTTTACGGAACTCCACGTATTTATACATATGCACAAATGTTACAACCAGAAGTTGAATTGAATCAAGCATTAGGAGAAGGAGTTGCTTATCGTGGTCGTCTACTTGTAGCTATACGTTCAATGGAAGATGAAGATGTTGTTCGAATCGGTACTAGTAAATATGTTGCTAGTCCTGTTTCCGAGGTAATTTGAAGTAAAAGAAATCAAACAGTTTTAATCATTCTAAACAGAACATTTAGGTTGTGATTTGACAGATGTATTGATTGAAGATAAGATACTTTTCTGTAGATATTTATAGCAAACCAATAGTTGAGAAATAACTTAACGAGACTAATTGTGTACTTAAACACCACGATAGTTCTTCGCTTATATTCATACATACGGACAATTATGGACATACATTCGATTGCAACAAGGTGGGAATACGTCAATAAGCTATCAACAAACACATCGACATTGACCTAATTTATCAACCAATCAGAAAAATCATAGACAAACATGGGATCAAGAAAGAGATGAAAAAGGGAGATACAATCAAAACAAAGGTGCAAACAACGATAGGTCGACAGCAACCAATCAAGATCGAGGTTAACACAACAAGCTACGGGACATGCGTGGAGAAATCCGAATACTTTAACTTCCGCTATCTGAAGTTTGTGCTGATGATGTTGTTCAGAAAAAAAAACAATGAAATCTCCACAACCAAAAGACATCCACCTCACAGAACGAAACACCACCACAAACTCAAGATATATTGTTGGTTCATAAATGTTATTGAAATAACTTACTGATGATTTAATCATATTTTTAGTTTGTCTTCATAGAAGTAGTTAGTTTTATTATCCAATGCTGTGTTGGGGACGTTAAATCCTCAGAACTAACTTGGAAAAGGTCTTAATTTTGAATTTTTTGTGTTTTCGCGCATAGGCTGATCAGTTGACCTTGAGGTAACATTTCCCACCAGGAAAATCTTTGAATTTCATTGGTTGATGGATTATTTTAGTACGTTATTTTTGTGGCTCTCTTCAAGGACGTTTATATCATGTATAAATAAACTTAATTTTTGCGTTTGTGAACGTCGATTTTCTGGGCGCCTGTAGAATACACTTTCTACATCTTGTCAAGACTTATTCCTCTACTTAGTCGATCCTTGGGACGCTTGGATTAGAGTAGCCTATCGTGTCACTGGATCATTTGTCTTCGCTGTCGTTTACTGAGGAAGGTGAACTCATAATAATTTCAAGCATATCAACTGACGAGTATAACATTGCTTACCAAACTGATGATTAGAATGATATGAAACATTGTGTGTGTGTGTGTGTGTTTATAAGATGGCGGTTGATAGTAGTCGACAAAAAATCCCCAAAGTTAGCTCTTGTGCAATTCGGTACTCGTCAGCAAGGTGTACCTGTAATCTTGAAGTAATTGATATTCCAAATGAGGTTCATATCGACATCACTTAATATGACATACTGCGATGTTACCATTGAGTTATTCAGGCTGCGACGGATCTCTTGTAGCGCTAAACTGTATTTGAGATTGATTGATTGATCACTGTGTAAGAACCAATGTCATATTGAGCCAAGTCTTTTTTGGTTCAGATCAATAGAAGTTCTTGTTGACCACTTCGAACCACCAACTTTTATCTGAACACAGTGTACACGATATCGATTCACCTAGACTAATGGCCATATGGCAATGTGATCCATAAAATTTGACCAGTGCTAACAAGAACGTGACATTCATGGCTTTGGTCACTACTTAGTAATGAATTAATCGTAGAGCTTGTTTTGTTAAGCTAGAATATAGTATACACTTGGATGTACACAATATATTGTTCGGGATGTTAGATCCTCAGAACTCGCTCGTTAGATGTTTTATTTCGGATTTCACGTTTGCGAGCATGGGCTGATCAGTTGACCTTGAGATTTCATTTCACACCAGCAAAATCCATGGCTGTGATTGGCTGCTGTGTATATTTTAGTGTGCTATTTCCGTAACTGTCTCAAGGATGTTTCTATGATGTATAAATAAACGAGAGTTATGTGCTTGATTGTATTATGATTGCTGGGTGTTTGTAGAATATAATTTCTACGCTTACCAAGTCTTCTTACTTTAGCTTGGTTCAATGTCTCGTTCGCGTTTATCGACTAAGGTGAACTAGTAATAGCCTCAAGCATACTTAGTGATGAACAATATATAAATATATATATATATATATATAAATTGAACTGAGATCAATGTTTGTTTGGAATAACCATCATTCTCATAGGCCGTTACCTCCTAGTAAAGGACTCATTAACAGTGCACATCCATGACCTCCACATGCAGGAATCGAACCATATACCTTCAGTCTCACATACGAACGCATAACCTTTAGACCACTGACCTAACCGGTATCCAACGATGTTAATGTCTAATTGTGATCAATCAACTTTTATTTAGAATTCTGTGAATAATTGTAATGATTAGCTGATAACAACTGATAATAAGAGTGATTATATTTATTCTATGCGCCATATTGTTTTAATTCTATTGTTTAAAATGAGTTGTATGCGTTTCAAAATGAAAAATAAATCTATATATGTAGTGAATGAGAACACAGGTGAGCGCAAGCGGATTGTATTTAACGAAAATTACAGAGTTACTCAGTAAAATTGGAAAACCATATCGTAAATCGTTAATTTGCAAAATATATCAGTTCATCATATCGAACTGGACTGTTCCTGTTGCAAAACATCAATCCATTGTCACACTATTCATGCGTTTCATACTAATTCCATTGTGTTCTAACTCTTCGTCCTTTCTTGATCTTCCCCCATCTTCTGCTGCCAGACATTACGTTGACACTCACGTCATATACTACTTATAAGTAGCTCGCACCATATATATATATATTCAATGATAAAAAATTTCTAATTTCTTTTCTTATAGACTGTAGCTGGAAAGAAAAGTCTATACTTTTTATTTGCTTGTTTCTCTGATGCAAGTGTCATTGAAAAATCACTAGGTGTTGCAAATAAACCAATTTCTTATGAAATGAGTTTTGGTAAGATTTTAAAAAAAGTTGTTAAAAATTCTAATTTATTGCATTATTTTTATAATTTAAAACAGTAAAATCAAAAAATATTTTGAATAATTCCTTATTGTATACAGTCGGATAACTATATAGTGTGCACAGTTAGAGCACCATTGGAAATCTGGATGCACTGAATGGCCATTTCATGCTAGCATAGGACACATGAACTCCACCATATTGAAGAATCAAACCCAACGTCCTTTCGGTGTCGAGTGAGGTTGGGGATGTGCAATACTGATGAGTCCTATATTAGGATGAAATTGCCATCTAGTACTTGTAGATTTCAAATGGCTATCTAACATTGATTGATTTGTGATTTTAATAAAACTCAGCAGTTTCCACATCACTATTGATCATTGACTGATCATTCGGTCGTTTTTAATTCTATAGATAAATCAAAATCTAGTAATCGAATCATAGTAATATTACGTGTATGATACTAGGTAGTAGAGGAAAGTCAGTTGATCAATGCAAACAACTGAGTCAAGGAACATCCATGAGATATGTGCAGACATTCTAATCATTTGTTTTGAACAGTATGGATGCTTCAGACCACATGATTAAGTAATGCAGAAAATCTGGCAAAGATGTAAGATCATTCTGAAAGACAGTAATGTTATTACAAAGGTATATGGAACATTTTTAAAAAACCTCAATGAATGAGGTTCTTCCAATAGATACTGTATCAATATGTACTTAAGGAAGGATTCTTCCTTAAAACAATCTCCATGAGAGTTAATTACAGTATGCAAACCACAAGAACTGAAATGAAAACAAAGATACAAAGTGGAGACTGTTCAGTCAGCACATTAGAATTGAAAATAATACTGTTGAAATTATTAAGGCGACGGCATAATAAATAAATTAGTTGTTACAAGTGTAAGTGCTTAGAAATGTGAACACAAGTGATATAAGTAACATACAGTATGCTCAAATTTATTAATTTTCGTCTGGTTACTGAATTTAAGTAAGTAGTAAAAAAAATTACACATAAGGAATTAAGTAAAAAGAGAATATGGTTAAGTGACGACGGATTTCTAAACTTCAGTACAGATGGAATTTTTATTTCATTTTAGACTATTTTTATGCATAATAAATTCCACTCGTTTAATGAGCTGCTAATTTGAAACATAATAATTTGAAGTGTGATGCATTCATCTCAGGCGATTAAATTGCGTTGAATAGTTCATGAATAGATCAATATTCGAAAACCTGGAACCACTGAAATAAGGCTGTTCCGTTCTAAAATGGAACTCATCAAAAGTGCGCACCCACGATCCCCACTTGCGGGACCTTTGGTTTCGCGTTCCAAAGCTTCACCTTTAGATCTCTGAGCGTGGTCCTTGGCTCAAATCCTGCACGGTGCAGGAATCATGGATGTGTAGTGCCACTGATGAGTCCCATACAAGGACGAAGCGGCCATCTTTCAGTTCTTTCAGGTTTCAAAATGGTAGTCTAACAATGGATTGATTGACATATTGCTTCAAGTTTCATTTTAATGAATGACAAAAACTTCTATTGATTCAAAGAGTTGACTATGAAGAAATCATGGTAGATCTAAACGATTTCTACGAACGACCTTAAAATCATTATGTCGACTAGTTGGGCTATCAGAGTCGGCTAAATGTTAGGATATTCATCTAATATCCTAAGAGAATTATTGGTTAATTCCTACTGGTCAATTTTATGGTCGTCCTAGATATCAATGTCACGTACTCCAATGTTGTTTCTTATTGGTTGTCCTGACTATCAGTGTCACTTCAAATGTTGTTTCCTATTGGTCGTCTTAACTGTCAATGTCACAGACTTCGATGCTGTTTCCTATTCGACCAAAATGTATAAATACGCATTATCTGTAACGTTTTATGACCACGACAGGACCAGGACCGGTCCAGATCCCCAGTCCGGGATCCTGATTCTCTTCTGGACTCGGACCTCGTACTTTCTGGATGCTTTTAGAATACAGGTTCTAATTCATATCAAGTCTTCTTCATTTAATTATTCGGGGTTGGGATAATCGGATTTGAGTAGCATTTCGGGTTGCCGGATCCTCGATCCTCGCTCTCGTTTTCTGACTAGGTAAACTCGCATTAGTTAAAGTATATCAAGTTGACGTGTTTACGTGCAGGAGTAACACTAAAATCATTTGAAAAAAGATATTACTAACAATGTATTTGTTTGATATACATATCAGTGCTAATTTTCGTTTGTTGTCTTTGTTGTTGGTGTTATGTGTGTAAGTGTTATTAAATTTGTAATCTTAACTTTTTTAATTTCCACAGGTCTATATGGTAACCAGTTGGATGGAAAACGAGGTGGAGTTGAACCACAAACCATAGAACTTGCACAACCAAGTAAATGACTTTTTTTACTTTGTGCCGATAAACCAACCAATCCGATTTAAGTTAGCATTTCATAGGCTTTAACAATAAAGTATGGTTTGTAACTTATTATAATCAAAACTTACCAAGACATTTAAAATGGGTAACGTATAGATAGGAAGACTAAAATACAAGATCAGTAATTTATGTATTTAAACAACAACTGAGGTGTTTAAAATTAAGGAATTAAATGTTCAAGTGTTCATCCTTTTAGATATGAAACCTTTTTTCAAATCGATTCATGACTTTTGTGCTAAAAATCTCCTATTTCATGTTTGAATAAATGAATTGTGAATCTTGTTTCTAGTCTAACAGTAGAGTAGTTTTTTGTCAAAAAAAGTCTGTAGTACGTTTGTACTAATATGTTGAGCCAAGATAGCTTGTCTCAACATTTGGACAAATTAACTGATCCATTCTTCTTGAGTTAGTTAGTACTCAAATATCTGTCGACCTTGTCAACTGGTCGCTCATAACCTTGGTATGAACATTGTTTGCTTCGCATGCTACATGTCTAGCCTATTTTTGTCTGACTATAAATACATAGTCTTGCCTCACATATATTTATTTTGTACCGCGTACAAAATGTACTGTAACAGCAGATCGATGAAGAGATTAGTTTCTAATTGAAATGTTAGACCACTGTTAGAAACGTGGAAGCATTGGACGGCCGTTTCGTCCTGGTATGGTATTCATTAGCATTGCGCTTCCACGACTTCTGCCACTTACAGGACTCGAACCCAGGGCCCTCGGTTATGAGAACGAACACCTAACCTTACGCTGTCAGTGCCTAACTTCAATCAATCCACGCTTTTGCACAACTCCATCCAGTGTGTTTAATAAGCACTGCTTCACATATAAACAGGGTTGAACTCCACTGGTCACGACTTCTCACTAGAACTCACTAGAACTTCACGGATTCTAAAAGTAGTAGTATAACGTTGATCAATACATGATATCAAAAAGTAGCTCAACAAACCCTTTCCAAACCCTTTCATGCAGACTGATTTGTGTCAGCACATCATTTTTGAGGCAACTATATAAAATACTGATAACCAATTTGACATTCAAGTATAAGTGTATAGAATTTTACATAGCTGATTAAATATTTCAGTCGATACAGGTAACTGATAAGATTACAGTAAATGATTCATTTGACGTGCCTTTGATGTATCAGTGAAAAGAGATACCACAAAGGAAAATATTACATATGAATGGGATCACGTTTGGACGAATCTTCTCACTAATGAATAATTATTTATAATGAAAATAACCTGCTATAAACTAGTACAAATCAGCAATAAACCTCTTGAAAAAACTTTCAACATATGTTATCAATTTCTACGTATTATTGAAAGATCTTTGATTTTAAAGGTGTTTTGCTCGTCCCTTGATATGCTTGAAACTATTATGAGTTCATTTTAGTTGATAAACGAAAACGAGACAATGACCCAGTGACACGGTAGGCTACTCTGATCTGTTGTCTCAAACTAAATGACGAAAAAGTCTTGATATGAAGTAGAAAGTGTATCCTACAAGCATCCGGAAAATATAATGATCGCAAGCGCACAAATCGAGTTTATTTATACATCATAGAAACGTCCTCGTGAAAGCCACAAAAATAAATCATACTAAAATGACACATCAACCAATGAAAGTCAAGGATTTTCCGAGTGAGAAATATAATCTCAAGGTCAAATGATCAGCCTATGAATAAAATCCAAAATTATCAAGTGAGTTTCGGGTGGTTTAACGTCCCCAAAAGAGGTTTACGTCTTCGTATTATTAAACGTTAGCTTAAAACTTTAAGGTCATGTCCTGCGTAGCTCATTTCACGCAATAAATTATAATTGCACCGTATTTTTTCCTACAAAATAAATTTTATTACAGATGATACACGAGAACGAGTAGATTGGTGCTATTCCACAACACCACCAATGACTCCAACCACAGATGATAAAGAATATTATTATTTAAATTTTGGCAATAGAAAACCTTGTTTATATTTAACCGGTTATTATGAAGATCATCGTTCGAGAATGTGTATACCAAATATTTTAGAGAAATTAAGTGATGAATTTGTAAGCAAAACCAACTGTTCAATAAAAACTACATTTTTTTAAAATCATGATTAAAACAATATTTAATTGATTTAAAAAGACTTCTGTAGATATAAAATAAGTGAGTGATTGAAGCAATGAATATAGTATAAACTTGTGCTTTTCTCAATTAGAAAGGAAGGATGAACTATCAGAATGCTTTCAAAAAATTACAGTTGAGATGCTTAAGATAAAAAAAACACATGCATTTATATTTCCAAATTGACCAATCACACGTGCTTTTCCTATCATTAACCTTGTAAGTCAGCCGCTGAATTCCTATTGGTCAACTATTCTTCAGCTTCTCACCGCCCTGACCTTGAGAAGGAGAAGTTGGTAATCAGCTTCTATCATAATTATATTTCAAACATACATAGTTTATGAAGAAACACATTAGATGGAATCATACCATAAAGTAAAAAAATTGACAAGAATACATGGACAATCTCAAAAGTGTCTATGATTATAGAGTAGGCTATCAATAACAGACTGGAAACAAAGTAGAAATTGAAAATTGTATGACAATCGTTGGAGTCAAGCAGTCAGTCACAACCACTGAAATATTTTGTACAGTTTGGAATAGAATAAACTGAGATAAAGTGATGAATTCCGTCATATACACAAGTTAGATTTATAGTTTCTTATGATGAATGTTTTCAATCATGATTACTTTACGTACTTACTTAGGCCTGTCACTCCCAATGGAGCATAGGCCGCTGACCAGTGTTCGCCAACCTTCTCTTTGCTGGGCTTCTCTTTCCAGTTCATTATTTTCATATCTTTCTCTATTTCGCGGCATAATGTGTTCCTTGGCTTTCCTCTTTTCCTTTTATCTTGAGGATTCCATCATGATATATGATCTTTATTTGAATATTTGAGTTCAATTCCTTAGGACATTCATTCTTTTTTAGTTTGTAATATCGAAACAAGAAATCTGTTTTTTTGTAGTTTATATTATGGAATGACCTTAGTTATACAATCACGAAAATCCAGAATACACTGTCTTTTCCCGGTGTGAAACTCTCAGCATTCAAAACCCTGCCAGCGACTGAACCCAAGACCTTCGGTGTCTTGGCAAGACCTTAACTACTAGACAACTAAATAAGCTTCATCCAGTGATGTAGAAATCTTAATTACTTGCTCATTTACACTTGTTAGCCCCAATGGATCATAGGCTGCTGACCAGCATTATTCAACCTACTCTGTCTTGTGCCTTCTTTTACACTTCTATCCAATTGCTGTTCATTCATCTTGATGTCTGTCTCCAATTCTCGGCGTGTTGTATATTTTGGTCTGCATCTATTTTTGGCCTTGATATAGATGTCTATAACAGTGATCAATTCGTCATATTATACAACTCTCTTTCATTTCTCTATCTTAAATTGTTAGATATGACTGAAAATAAACCGATTTTCCTGACCATTTGATAATTAAAAATTGTGATTTCGGTAACAACACATAGATTTATGTGATCAGTTGATGTAGTAGAATTTAATGTAGCACTCTAACTAGCAAATCCCGGGACTGTCTAATACCTAGTCCAGAAATCATGAATACACCAGTACTCAAGTCACAGAGGAAGCACTGAGCACAAGTGAAGGTATTCTTATTTGCTGTTCAAATCAGTAACAAGATTCAGACTGAAATAACGTTGGATGCCAACCCAGTGGTCCAGAGGTTAGGCATTCGCGCACAATACCGAAGGTCCCGGTTTGAATCCTGCGAGGTGCGGGTGTCGCGGATGCGCACTGCTGGTGAGTACCATACCAGGACGAAACGGCCGTCTTTCAGTGCTTCCAGGTTTCTAATGGTGGTCTAGTAACAATGATTGATCGATGATTTCAATTTGTGAAAATATTTGGCAAAAAGTAACAGTATCGATTATTCCGGTCTGATTTAGTCAGAATTTAGGCTTTTTTATGACGCCTGATCTAGTCAGCTATACAAAATTGAAAAGGCTAAAAATACTTAACGAAACTTCATGTTAATGCTTGAATAATTATCTATAAAAATTAAGTTGCTTGGCCTATTCAAACAAAGATATGCAAGTTAAATGAACGATAGGGTTTCATTAATCACAACAGTACATTCACAGTACGTCTGAGAAGACGTCAGAAGAAGTCAGCTTCCTCCACTCTATCGTACACCGCCCTCGCCCTGCCTCTTAGTAGATTCCCCAGCACCACCGCCTTCGCCCTCTGCTCCTTGACTCCTACCAGCTCCGCCACGGCCTCGAACTCCTTCAAGAAGCTCCTTACATCTCCGTCTTCAAACTCCCGAGGCCATGGTATCTTCATCCTGTGTAAAGGCAGCGACACTAATTGAGAAGACTGTGGCATGCGAGGAAGATTGTATTGTGCAAATTTACACTCTTAATCAATTAAAAACGAAAACATTACATTGAACACACTCTATTTGCACACCATATTTGACTCGTGACTTCCAACACTCTATCCTTCTTCCATTCCTGTTGTTGCTTCCTTTCCTTCCTGTTGGTACTCCATTTACTTGTTGCTTTTGCTCCATTTGCTTTCCGTTTTCCTCTTCTGACCGTGAGACTTTTTTCACATGCCTTCTTATACTACTTATATCGTTCGTATAAGTAGCACACACCACACGTCCACTTAAGATACTATATGATTAATCTGACTTTAAAGTAACATGGGACATATAAAAACTGCCGGAACCTTTGATGAATGTTTATTCCCATGTTTATTAAAACTATTTTTAATAAACTATTGTTTACAACTGCTCAATAATTAAAAAATATATTCAAGAAACATTTTGTTTAAATTGACCAAACTCTTTTTCTTCCCCTTTTTTAATTCTTTTCATCATACCGTTTAGTATTATCAAATACAACGTGTGAAACATTTATTTATACGAAGAAAAATTACCGACGCTAAAAAATATCTACGTACTGTATTTTTAACAATGGCAAAAAAATTTAGTTTAGCCCAAGAATCTATTCGATCATGTCGTGATACAGCTAGTACAACATTACTTGATCGAGAATATTCACGAAGAATACGAAGGGATCTAAGAAGAATGGCTTATTTGATGGTGAATTTATCAAAACAAGTACATCGTAATACATTAGGTGAAAAAATTAAAGATGCCAATGGATTACATAGTCGTTTGTGTAATTTAAGTAATTGTGTAAGTGTTTAAATAGTTTTGGTTGGTTTTATTTTTTTTTAGATCTTTTTTTGGTTTAGTGGTACGAAATTGTTGAAGACGTTAGATACCCAGAACTCGCTTGATAAATGCCTTAATTTTGGATTTCATGTTTGACAGCATGGACTGATCAGTTGACCTTGAGATTTCATTTACCACACAGGAAAATCCATGGCTGTGATTTGCTGCTGTGTATTTTAGTGTGCTATTTTCTTAACTGTCTCAAGGACGTTTCAATGATGTATAAATAAACGAGAGTTGTGTGCTTGATTGTATTGTGCTTGCTGGGTGTTTGTAGAATATACTTTCTACGCTCTATCAAGACGTTTTGGTCAATCATCGGATCAGGGTAGCCTACCTGGACTCTGGTTCATTGTCTCGTTCGCGTTTATCGACTAAGATGAACCCGTAATAGTTTCAAGCATACTTAGTGACGAACCTTACAGAAATGTGAATTGTTTTGTAAATTTTAAGTACAATTTATTGTGATAGATTGTAGTACGATTATTTAAGACAGAGTTCATAAGTACTAATGTAGATGCAATCACCAGCCTAAGTAGCAGTAAGTCTCATTATCAACAAAAATGGAAAAGCAAGATTTTCCGATGCAGCGCAACATGCCTCAACCTGAACATATTCGATGGAGAGATGCCTTGGAGGACGTAAAATCCCTTACATATCTGTTAGATAGCATCATTGACGAACAAGGTGGATCTTATACAGATGTGAAGGCGTGGATCGGTAGAGCAAGGGCAGCACTATTACAATTGAAGAACATCTAGAACTCAAAACAACTATCAACCAACATCAATGTCACAATTTTCAATACAAATGTTAAGACACTTCTAACGTATGGAGCAGAAACTCAGGGAACCGTGAAAGCCACCATTCACAGGATACAAGTGTTCATTAACAATTGTCTACGCAAAATACTTCGGAGCAGCTGTCTAGACACCATCAGCAACAACTACTGTGGGTTAGAACAAACCAGATTCCAATGGAAGTAGAAATCGGGAAGAAGCGGTGGAACTGGATTGGACACATTGCGGAAAGCACACCAGACACTATCAGCAACAACCTACTGTGACAGAAAACAGACCAGATTCGTCCAGCGGAAAAGGAAATCAGGAAGAAACGCCAGGAGCGGATAGGACATACATTAGGGAACGCACCACAATGCGTCACAAGACACGCCCACACATGGAATCCTGAAAACCAAAAAGAAAAGAGGAAGGTCAAGGAACGCATTACACTGAGTAATGAAGACAGACATGAGAAGAATGAGCAACAATAGGACAGAACTACAAAGGTTAGGTGGGGACAGAGAAGGTTGGAGAATGTTGGTCAGCAGTCTATGCTCCGTAAAGGGTAACAGGCGACAGTAAAGTATGTAAGTAATTTAGGTGCAATTCAAAAATAACCAATAAATTCTAACATCAAATGTATTCGAGATGCCTAGATACCAGTTCAATAAATTTAACACCACTCATAGTATCACTAAGTTGTGATAACTTAGCTGTGGTCAATAAAACTAATGTTAAATTTTCAAATAAGTCACATTATATTTAGACTGAAACACTGCTACTAGCTATACTACTAAAATCAATAAACGTATCAGGAGATGGATGATTCTAAAATCATTTTTTTGGCTCAGGAATAGGATGTGTACTAATTTCGATCGAAACTTACAAATAAACTGTGTGTTTTATAAGCTAACAACAATCAGCTTCTTTCGATGTTTATTAGTCAGATAAATTCTAATTTGACTGATGAATACTAATCGATGAAGGTTGCCAAACATCATCAATTGAGTTGAAGTTAGACATTAACACCACTGTATGCCGACTCAGTGGTCTGGAGGTTGAGCGTTCCCCACGAGACCACAAGTCCTAGGTTCGACTCCAGCGTGCTAGGTGCTAGGAGGTGCACCGCCAAGGCGTCCAATATTAAAATGAAGCAAACGCTCGTCCAATGCCTCTACGTTTCTAAAGAGTTATCTAACTTAATCAATCACTGATTTAAACTGTGATAAACATTCCTTCTGTTTACTATTTTTTCCTTTTTAGCCACAAGACGGTTTACCAGATGTGTTTATTTCAATGATTATGGAACATCAAAGAGTTGGTTTTGTGAGAATTCCAGCACGTGATATTTATTATTCAGCTGTTGATTGTGAACGAGGCAAATGGAGTGGACAAATTGCAACGCTGTACTTACGTGTATGTGTCACATTAAAAACATGAATAAGTGAATATTTTTTTAATTCAGATGAATGGATGATTATGGTGTGAAGGAGTTTTTGTTCTCTAAGCTGGACAACATCAGAGCTGAAGAACAATCAAAGCTTCACAACCAAACTGTCCAGTTCAGAGAATGAAACTCCAACATTACTTTAGTATTATTTATCGTTTAGTAATTTGCATTACAATGCACTACGTAGAAGATAGGGAAATTAAATATTGAAAAGCTTTACCATTGATCATTCAATGTAATGTAGTTCATTCAGAAATACTTTTTATTAAACAACCATTACTCATTATCGTATATTGTTCTAATTTACAACAATTACATCCTAACATCAACAGTATAACTAGGTAAAAAATAGAATTTAGGAATTCAGTACTACCCCAAGAATTAAAACAAAAGATATTCTAGTATTATCATAAATGTTTTCTAAACTTATAAAAAATCACTTAAATGAAAGCCTAGAAACTCCGCCTGGAACCGTTTAAGGTTACTGTCAGTCCCAAGACAGGATAAAAATAATCGGCTAGTTGGCGGCCTATGCTCTGTTATGTGTAACAGGCGTAAGTTAGTACAAATATGAATTTATGAAGGATATTAATTACAATTGAGAATTTCAATATTTTGTATGAAAGGATTGTGGAGATTGTTGAGTGACTTTTTGTATTCATGAATCAATCAAAGTTAGACATCAACATCGTTAAATACTGGATCAGTAGTTCAGAGGTTAGGCGATCGCGCGCATGTTCGGAGGTTCTAGGTTCGAATCCTGCGAGCAGCAGGAGTTGTGGATGCGCACTGTTGATGAATCTCATACTCGAACAAGACGGGCGTTTTCCAGTGTTTTCAGTTTCTTTAATGTTGGATTAACTATGATGGATTCATAAATACTAAAAGCTTCCATATTTACAATGAGCTATAAAGATTAGAAGGATGGGTGAATGTAGTGGTGTTTCGTTCTCTGAGCTCGATTTTTGGTTGTGGAGCTTTCATTGTTCTTCTTCAGAACAACAATCATCAGCACAAACTTCAGATAGAAATGAAGTATTCGAATTTGTGCTGCTGATGTTTAGCTCAGAAGAAGAACAATGAAAGCTCCACAACCGAGAAGCCTTCAGCTCACTTGAGCTATAAGTTTTCTCCACCGTCTCAAAATGGATGAATGAAAATTGAGGAGAGCATTTAAAATAAATTTTATTTTGACTCCTTTTTTATTTAAAAAAATGGCATATATTTCATTAATTTTTAGAAACAAGGTCGTGAAGGTGTTGGACCAAAAGGATGGAAAATTCAAAGTCAAATACGTGTATATTTATGGCTTGGTTTAATTAAAGATTTTACTGCTTACACATATGGTCTACCTGGTGGATATGATAAGAATATATTTAGAACACCAAAACCACCAAATGAAATTGTTTATCTAGGTAAGAATATAACGATATAAGTAAGTTCTTCTGTTGTTCATTTTTTGAAGATTGCTTTCAAACTACTTTTAGTAGAGTTTTATTCGGTTACACTTGTAGTTAATAGTGGAATCCAGTGTTTGAGTTTTATCTCATTCGGGATTTATCAGTCGGATGTGTTTGTATCTGAATGCTAATCTTTCCCTTAGAGAACTGGAAGCCAGTACCAGTCGGCTCAAAAGTTTAATGCGTTATTCACTCAGCTACTTGGTCCAGATATCCACTTACTGGTTAAACTGAGTATAGTGTTATATAACTGTAAAGATTTGTGTTTCCATTGTTTTTAATTATCATAACAGTTTATCATACTTTTTTACACATTTGAAATCATCAATCAATCGATTATTTGTTAGACCAGCATTAGAAACCTGGAAGCACTGCGGAAGACGACCGTTTCGTCCTGGTGTGGGACTCATCAGTGGTAGTGCGCATCCACGACTCCTGCTCCTCGCAGGATTCGAACCCGGGACCTTCGTTATTGTGCTTGGACGCCTAACCATCCGACCACTGGGCCGGCATCCAACGGTGTTAATGTCTAACTCTGATTGATCTAGGGATTTTTATCATCTCACGAGATGGAATCTTATTCTTTTTTAGGACATTTTATAATTTCTTCAATAAAGCAATGTAGTTAAAAATTTGATAGAAATCGCGAAAAGTGGACAATATTACAATGTTTGTGTTGTCTTAGTTAGCCTTTCTTTGATGTGTTGTATGATTTCATGCTTTGAAGTTGAAGTTGCATTTATCAACTTGAATAAAGTATCATTTGATGCAGAATAGATAGAATGTGGTTAACAGTAGAATCGTGAATGCGCGTTTCGTCTTATTTTTTGCACTTAACTGGCAAGTCGCGAATAGGACGAAACTGTTGGGACAGTTATATCCCAAGAACCCACTTGGAAAAGATCCTCATTTTGAAAATTTTATTCTAAAATTTCGAATTTCTATGTTTTCGCGCCGGAGACGCTAAGTTGACCTTCAGCTTACATTTGCCACTCGGAAATCCCTGACTGTCCTTGGCTGATGGATTATTTTAGTACGCTATTTTTGTGGCTCTCCCAAGGGCGTTTCTGTCGTTGTATAAATAAGCTTGATTTGTGTGCTTGTCAACCTCGTATTTTCTGGGTGTCTATAGAATACATTCTCTACGCCTTATCAAGACTTCTTGCTATAGTTAGCGGTACCTAGGACAATCGGATTAGAATTGCCTATCATATCACTGCATCATTTGACTGCGCTCCATTGACTAAGTAAGTTGAAACGTGAGCAAAAGCAATTTTTTCATGTATTCTAGTGACAGCTGTATGAATAGACTTTTTTTCAGTCATTTGAAAGTAACGCTCAGACATCTGATGATTTTACTATATAAGTACTAGTAATCTGTGCAGAAGCCCTTACCACTGTTCGGTAGTAACAATATTACTGGAATATGCACTCAGCGATCTCTGTGAAGGCAACATTTTCTTGGAGTGGGATAGATACCGTCGTAGAGCCTGATGGAAATGACACTGGAAACAGAAAGTGTGGTAAGAAAAATAAGTGTTGAAGTAGAACGGGTAGATAGATGGAAAGCTATCAAGTCCAATAGACGAATTACTTCATCTGAGTTTTTTCTCTTTTAATTAACAACAACTGTTTACTAACTCATCTGGTTTGGTTATTTGAACCTTCCTATTAATGTTTAAGTCTGCAATTGCTCACTCTCTTTGGAATAGATGCACCATGTGCGCTGATCGCATCAATATTCCGATTAGTTAACATGCAGTGGGATCCAGGACTCACCCTTTCAACCTATTTGTTGCTCGTTAACTAGATCACGCAAGGGGGGTTATAGCGAACGGTTCTGGGTTCGAATTCCGGAGTGGATATCAACTTTACGATTGAGGTACATTCAGCTGATGAGCCCCAAGTAGGAGGAAACGTACATTTAGGATTCCACTGTTACCCACCATTCATCTGTGCTAATAATTTTTATTACTTTACTTACCTTGTAAAATGCATAAATCATTTCAAAAAAGGTAGTTAATTACTTTTCAGTTTTACTTGCTTTCATCATTTGTTCCCTAATTGGTCAAAAATGGGATTAAATGTAATATGTTAGTCTTGTTTTGAATTTTTAGTAATTCGTGCAAATATCCGACGTCAATTAATCTCATATGATAATCTTTCAATGTTGACTATTTAAGTTCGGTCACAGAAAATTAAAATGATCTGTATTCGATCTAACTAGTAGATTGATAGAAAGTCTTCCGACTTGATTCCATTTATTTACTTACTCCTGTTACCTTCGATGGAATATAGGATGCCGAACTACTCTATCCTATGTCTCCCTTTCCAATTCTGTCCAATTTTTGTTCATTCTTCTCATTCTTGTCTCCGTTTCTCGGAGTGTAATACGTTCCTTCGCCTTCCTCTTTTCCTTTTGCCTTGAGGTTTCCAAGTGAGGGCTTGTCTTGTGTGTCCTATCCACCTGCAGCGCTTCCTCCCCTGAAATCTGGTCGACTCCATGTTTTTTAATATTGATTAACTTAACTTGATCAAAATTATTAAAGAAATTTATTATACTCGGCTTAAAACTTGGATAGGAAAATTTTATTCTCATCATAATACAACATCAGTCTAACCAAATGGCTTATTTGATTTCTTTTATTCGGTTTTTCCTTATTCAATAGAAAGTAGTCGTTTTCAGCTGAGATGTTATATATTCATTGCACGTGATCTAATACCCTCAGATTCATCGGGTATGTCAGATCCAATGGCTAGAATATTGATTGGGTCACATGTTCTACAAACACAAGCATTATATCAAACAATGAGTCCAATGTGGGATGTTCTGCTGTATAAACAAGTAACATTTTATCAAAATGCTAAATCAGTAAAACAAAATCTACAAGAAGTGATAGTTGAAATATTTGATATTGATCCAGGAGTAAGTTGATTCAAAGTAAATCAAAGTTTAGGTTACTTTTTAATTATTATTTATTTGACTACTAATATAATTAAGTAGTTTAACGAATAACATGTAAGTTATATTTTGAAATAGTGAATACTATATTTTAATCTTAGTGAAAGAATTAACATTGGAGTAGATGTGAATCCATCTGATAAATCTTAAACGAACTATTTGAATTTTATTGCCTCCTACTAGATTGCAATCTTAGTAAATGTTAGACCACCATTACAAACATGGAAACAGTGAAAGACGGCGTTCCATCCTAGTATGAGACTGATCAACAGTGAGCATCCACGATCGCTGCTCACTAGTGACTAGCTGAGTGAGGAAATTCCCGAAGTTCTAGTCAGCACTCATGACCAATGGAGTTCAACCATGTCAGGTGTAGTCAGTTACCTACTGACGACAATTAACGTCGTCACGCAGTATCGTGGATTGATTAAAGGTAGACATTAAGAGTGTTATATGCCAGCGTAGTGGACTAGAGTTTCAGCGTTCATGCGCGTGACTTTCATCGGTCAGTAACTGCCTCACAATAGACAAAGTTGAACTCCATTGGTCACTGCTTCCCACTAGATGTCAGTAGGGTTCGTCACTTAGTATGCTTGAGGCTATTACTAGATCACCTTAGTCGATAAACGCGAACGAGACAATAAACCAGAGTCCAGGTAGGCTACCTTGAATCCCAAACTGCAAAACAGAAGACTAGAAAGTATATTCTACAAACACCCAGCAAGCACAACACAATCAAGCACACAACTCTCGTTTATTTATACATCATAGAAACTTATTTGGGACAGTCACAAAAATGCCACACTAAAATACACAGCAGCCAATCACAGCCATGGATTTTCCTGGTGGGAAATGAAGTCTCAAGGTCAACTGATCAGCCCATGCTGGCAAACATGAAATCCAAAATCAAGGCATTTATCAAGCGAGTTCTAGGGATCTAACATCCCCGACAATGTCGTGCTCGTCAATTGATCTGCTTGAAACGATTACGAGTTCACCTTACTCGGTAAATGAAAGCGAAGACAAATCATCCAGTGACACGATAGGCTAATCTAATTCGAGCGTCCCATGGCCCTACTAAGTAGAGGAAGACGTCTTGACAAGATGTAGAAAGTGTATCCTACAAGCACCCATAAACCGAGGTTCACAAGCACACAAATCGTGTTTATTTATAATGGATAGGAACGTCCTTATGAGAGCCACAAAAATAGCGTACTAAAATAACACATCAGCCAATGACAGTCAAGGATTTTCCAGGTGGGAAATGTAATTTCAATGTCATCTGATCAGACCATTAGTGGAAATACAAAAAATCCAAAATTAGGACCTTTATCAAGTGAGTTTGGGGGATCTAACTTCCCCAATACTAAAACTCCCAGAATTCCCTCACATAACTAGTCACTAGTCAGCTGATGATAATTGTCAGTACAGGACTGTAGAGATTTCTAATGATGAACTTATATTGATGGATTCTTAATTTTAATGAAACTTAACAATCTCCTCAACCCTATACTGACAATGGTTGAACTGGTTGTAAGTCTTTTTTTATTATAACAGCCTGATTAATTACATTCTATCTAGCTAAATTAGATTTTATTGGGTTTTCAAATTTACCAAAATTACATATGAAACTTAATGATTCTAAAAACACACCATCTCTATCTATTCCATTTTAAATATCTCTATTATCTCATAGAACAACAACACAGTGTTAACTACTTGGTTAAAATCTCTTAGTAGTATATTATTTTTCAAATTTATTTTTTTTTCTATTCATTTCTATAAGAGTGGTTTGGAATTTATGGGACGTTGTTTTTGTGAAGTAAATGTTACTTTAGATGGTGAAAAGTATAAACCACCACGTTTACAATGGTGGCCTGTATTTCGTGGTCAAACTCCGGGTGGTGAATTACTTGCTGCATTCGATCTCATTCAGGTAATTTTATTGATCGATTTATTTTCGGTGACCAATAAACAAAATGGCCACTTTATCATTGATAGTCCAATGAAACTTAATGTTAAAACGTAGAATTTCGTATCTATGTACACAAGTTCAGGTCGCCATACGACATTAGCGCAGAGATGCAATTGTCAATTCAAATCCTATAGCGGTAGAGATAGTAGAAGTATTAGCAGTAATGGAGGGGATTACAGTTCGAAGAAATGATTCGAGAAGTGTAATTCAGTGAGATAAATATCAAAACAGAAAGATAGATGTGATGAGGAATGCAGAAGATTAGAATTTGAGAGAACATACAGCATGGGTGTACCTGAGCCATGTTGTTCAAGGTCTCTAACCATTAATTATTTTCATTTCGAGGACACTAACTAGGCAATCTACGCCTACCGACATAACTCAGTCCACTTGTCAGTGACTTCATGGATTTGTGCCATGTTTTGGTCTGGGCGCCCCTAACTGTCTTCCAACCTACTCCCACACCACAAAACAAAGCTCGTCGAGGCAGTGGGTGGTTAGGCAAACGTAATCCCTATCCCAACCGCTTCAACTGATGAAGTTTCAATACTTCATCTATTGATCTGCCATCTTTACCTAATACACGTTTCCTAATAACTTCAATGTTTACTCGATAGTCCCAAGATAAACAGGCACTGCTTGAGCCAGATACGCCATTGGTGATTAAAAGTCTAGAACCATATAATAACCTAGATGATTGTTGATTCAACACAACACTAACAGTAGACACAGTGAATTGACAATAAAAATCACCAACGAAACTATCTAAGTGAACTGATGCATCGCTTATGGAATAATCATAAAACTTACTTCTATAAGATGTAGGCTATGAAGCTTTACAATCAAACCATTTTCCTTAGAGAATTCAACACCACCAAAACAAATTAGTCTTCTACATAAAATACCAAACTATTGTTTAAATATAGAGAATCCTATTTGTATCCACCTAGCTCATTAATACCAGACATTTTCAATGTTTCCTCTAGATGTAATTCGGAAACTATTAATTTCAATCATGGTCTTCAATCTGTCCTAACTTTCATTTCTTCTTTTTTATTAATTATACTACTTAAATAGTATTCAGTAACTTGTGTGAGTTTCAATCAATTTCCAACTCACGGTTACTCATCTCGACCATGTGATATTTCTATGCAAAATTTCATGTCATTTTTTTTGTTGCGATAGTATTATCTTGTTGTTCTTTATTTCTTGTGTTTCCATCAAACAGTTTTTGACTTCTAACAATTTCAATACTTTATATGAAAAATTCTCATTGAGATGGTGGAGAAAACTTGTAGCTCAGGTGGATGACTGTAGTGGTGTTTTGTTCTCTGAGCTGGATGTTTTGGTTGTGGAGCTTTCATTGTTCTTCTGAACAACATCATCAGCAGCACAAACTTCAGATAGAAGTGAAATATTCGAATTTCTTCACGTTTGACCTGTAGCTTGTTCTGCTAACCTCGATCTTGATTGGTTGCTGTTGACCTTAAACCTGTGGTTGTTTGCACCTTTGTTTTGATTGTATACACCTGTTTCTTGATCCTACGATTTTTCTGATTGGTTGATAAATTGGGTCAATGTCGACGTGTTTGTTGATTGCTGATTGACCTGAGTGCCAAGCTTCTAAAAATTCTCTAGTGTTCTTTGTCCTCCCCCTACCCAATATTTCCACATTGTCCCAATCGAATGTACGTCCATTATTGTTGGTGTGTATTGATATAAGCGAAGCGTTGTCGTTGCGTTCGACTGCTAATTGGTGTTCACGTGAACAAAGCTGGAGAGGCCGTCCGCTTTGTCCTATGTAGTGTTTTTCACAGTCTGAGCAATTTATTTTTTAGATGGTATCTGGTTTTTCTTCCTTTGTCATTTTGTCTTTTAGTCTACATAGGATTGATTGAAGTGATTCTGTTGGTTTGTGTGCCACACCTATTCCAATTGGTTTCAGTAGTCGTGCTGTGTGTTACGATATGTCTTTGATGTATGGTAGGATGATCCGTTTATTGGTTCCTGTACCTGATTTCGGTTCTGTTGACGGTTTCGGTTGATGTTTTTTGATGAAATTGCGTGGATGGCCGTTCTTTTGGAAGATAGTCATCAGGTGTTTTTCCTCGTTTTTGGTGCTTCATTTGTGCTGCAGTGTGTCTTCGCTCTCTTGAACAAAGGTTGTGTGCAGTTGATTTTGTGGGTTCTTGAGTTGTTGCTATCGTAGTTGAGAATTACGTCTGTGTGGTTCTGGCTTCCGAAATACTTGAGTTTCTAGTTTTCCTGTGTTAGTTCTGGTGATTAGTATATACAGGAATGATAGACTGTTGTTTGGTTCCTTTTCCATCGTGAATTTGATGTCATCAAAGATGTTGTTGATCCAACCAACATAATTATTTCAGGAAACAAATGTCCTTTTATCGTTCCCTGATTCATCCCAGCATCTTAGATATCACATTAATTAAGATTCACAAACTGTATTGATCATGTTGTCATTAAAACTGACATACTATTTTGTAAATGAATCTTGTAATTAGATTTCAAGTGATTTCATTTCAGTCAATTGTTTGTAATATTGTAGTGAGAGGAGAACAAAGGTGGGGCAACCGATTTGTATTTATCGAAAATTACAGAGTTACTCAGTAAAATCGGAAAACCATATAGTAAATCGTTCATTTGCAAAATAACAGTTCATCATATCGAACTGGACTGTTCCTGTTGCAAAACACCAGTCCATTGTCACTATTCATGCGTTTCATACACAAATTCCATTGTGTTCTAACTCTTCCTCCTTTCTTGATCTTCCCCCATCTTCTGCTGCCAGACATTACGTTGACACTCACGTCATATACTACTTATAAGTAGCTCACACCACAATATAATCAGTAATTGAACCATTGAACATGTATGTACCTAATGTTAATTTGTGTTTCATTCTTACTTAACTATTTGTTTTTTATATTTTAAGGATGATCCTCAAATACCATTTGAAAATCTACCAACATTTGAACAATTGGCTGCTTATACAAAAGAATTTGATGATCGTGTTATTTTAAAAAGTATACCAGGCATGTATTTAGACGACGAGGATGATTTAAACAAAGATTCCGATGATGATGATGATGATCATGGTGATTTAGATGATGAAATGAATACAGTGGATGGATTTGACGATTTAATCTTTGATGCTGATTCTATGTTATTATTAGAAAGTTCTGAAGATTTTCATTTAAATAATGTTCGAAGAAAACAAATCAAAATAGGTATGGCACCGCCAAAACTTGTTTTAGTTCGACGTAAAGGTGATTATCGTATACCGGATAATATTCGACCACCATTACAACGATTTCGAATGGAAGTTGTATGTTTACTTTTATTTTATATACAAATTAATATGATTGTTAACAATGCACTTATGTAGACAGGACTGAATTTCGATTAGTTTATTTTGCATAAACTGACTCGATATAGTCATACTGTTAGATTGTAAATGACATATGGATCCAGTGAAAGTATATCTGTTGGATAACCATTCGTAGTGAAAGTTACAGTATTTGTGATTCGCTATGAATATCAACACTAATAGAATTCATATAGAAGTCTTGATTAGATGGACTATGTGTAAGTGAAGAAGACATCGTTTGTTATCTTTAGACAAACAGGTTTTCCACTGTCTTCTCTTACATCTTTTCTAGTCTTCAATATTACTTTGATCTTACTATACATGTTGTTGATCTTAAGGTACTCTTCTCTCTGGTAGCAACTTCTAGACGATGTTTCGATGCATGCAATCTTGTCAATGTCACCGACCACACTATGATAGAAGTATGTTCAGTTAATTAAATAGAAGAGGATAAATTGTGTCGCCTGGATTTCGCAGCTAACCACAACAGATCTACTTTGTATTATTAAAGATTCTCATTGTGAAAATTAGAACAACACATATAAGCGATTAGATCGTCATCATCAGGCTTTACTCTAATAATATACATGAATATTTATATGAAAATGTTAAACCAATTATCAAGGCAATTTATGAGTCAATAGTCATAATGAAATGAAATAGAGATTACGTCACTACACATCATAGGCAAAATTCGATAGTAGGAAGATAGGTGTACCGTCAGTGGTAAGAAAAATAAAATACGATAACAAAAGTTTCATCAATGGTAGGTCAAACGTGAATATAACTAGACTTAAAATAATCCTTTACAAAAACATTAAAACCATTACGCGTAATAAGAAGCGTGTACATAGTTATTAGATAGTGAAGAAGAATATAAACGGAAAGAGGCGGAAACTCACCAACAAATACAGGATGTGAAAATAATCCTAATAATAACAAAATAAAATTTAATTCTTAAATCGTTAGCTATGTCATATCCGTCCATGGAAGGGATAGGTGTGTCACGAATTCCTTCTGAACACATAAATAAGGGTCGAGTGTACGAATTCCAATGGCTTCTGCTATGTGTAGGAGACGGGATCGAACTCCATCGGGAAATGATGGAGGTATACGATAGATCACCCGAAAAGATATAAACTTATCTACCATTTTTACCACTATCAACCAAGTGTGCTAAGATAGAACTGTGTATTGTTTTTAACAGGCCCTTCGTAAACCAAGTTGGGAGATGTTCATTCATTCGTTGGTTAAGTTGCCTAGTAGAACGCTTGATATAACTATCTCCATAGGAGCAGCTGAATTTGTAAACTATTTTTCCGAATTTATGGATAACACCATAGCTAAAAAAATGTTTTATAAATTTACTGTTGAAGAATGATACGAGTATTTCTATCCCAACTGTTGACATTTTTAAACAATAGTATCATTTTATTCAGAAAAAAAAGTATGAGTAAATGTTGGTAATTTATGATATTGGTTAATAGAACTTAATGATTGATTGAGATCAAGTTCTTAGTTGTATATATTTGAACGTGTCCAACAGAAAATCCTTCCAAATTGAATAACATGCATTAATTATTTGTTAGTTGATTCTTTGTGGTGGTGCTGGTGTTTGGTTCTCTGAGCTGGATGTTTCGGTTGTGGAGATTTCATTGTTATTCTTCTGAACAACATCATCATCAGCACAAACTTCAGATAGAAGGGAAGTATTCGAATTTCTCCACGTTTGACCTGTAGCTTGTTCTAACAACTTCGATCTTGATTGGTTGTTATTGACCTTAAACCTGTGGTTGTTTGCACCTTTGTTTTGATTGTATCCCCCTTTTGATCTGTTTCATGATCCTATGTCATTCGATTGGAACAATGTGGAAATACTGGGTAGGTGGAGGCCAAAGAACACTAGTGAAATTTTAGAAACCTGGCACTCAGGTCAATCAGCAATCAACAAACACATCAACATAGACCCAATTCATCAATCAATCATAGGTGACATTGGATCAAGAAACAGATCGAAAGAGGGATACAATCAAAACATAGGTGCAAACAACCACAGGTTTAAGGTCAACAGCAACCAATCAAGATCGAGGTTAGCAGAACAAGCTACTGGTTAAACGTGGAGAAATTCGAATACTTCACTTCTGCTATCTGAGGTTTGCACCGATATTAATGATGTTCAGAAGAATAACAATGAAATCTCCACAACCGAAACATCCAGCTCAGAGAACCAAACACCATCACCACCACAATCATCCATCTGAGCTAAAACATTTTCCCCATCATCTCAAAGTTAATTCTTTTATTACTTACTTGTTAGTGAAATCTGAGTGCACCTGATTTTCGTTTGATAAAACAAATATCTAACGTTTCAATTGTCTGATGAAGGTATCATCAGTTAAATTTGAGTTTTTATTTTTCACTTATTCTAAGAAATTAAAACAAAGTAGAAAATGTTTAAAAAGAATAGTTTAAAGTTAATATCTATTGTGACAGTGAATAAAAATGTTATCACGTACACTGCATAGTCTATGCTGTATTGGAGGTAACAAGCGTAAGTAAAGAGAGTAAAGTACATACAATGAAACAGATAAAATATCAATACATGTATGTTTTATAAAGTCAGTTAATTTTTTTCATTATAGATTTATGAAGATTGTTGTTTTTGCTTGAGATTATAAAAATTAATCATTGTTAGACCACCATTAGAAACCTGGAAGCACTGGAAAACGACTGTTTCGGCAAAGCATGAGACACTAGAGCAGTGTGCATCCACGACCCAACACAACAGCATTGAACTCAGGACCTCCTGTCACTAACGCTTAACCTCTAGACAACTGAGCCAGAATACAACGATGTTCATGTCTAACTTTGATCAATCCATGATACTGCGCAACCTCATTTATTGTCTTCGGTAGTTACTGCCTACACTCGACAGAGTCGAACTGCACTAGTCACATCTTAGTTAGATCATAGTTAGGCACTAACTCCGTCTAATTCCTCCTTAATGGTCTAGAGGTTAAATGTTCTCACGCGATATCAATGCTGTGGGGTCTGATTCCCGCCTTGGGAGGTTGTGTATGCACACTGCTAATGAGTTAGTCCCATACTACAACGAAACGCTTATCTTTCAATGTTTGTAGGTTCCTAATGGTAGTCTAAAAATGACTGATTCATGCGTTCAATGATAAAGTTAGTTAATTAAAAAATAATGATCTCAACACATGATTATGGTATGAATTTAAGACATCGGATCACCAACAAGTTTGATAACACCCAAAGTAAAGCCACTAGATTTGCTTACCTACTGACTGACGTCATCATACGAAACTATTCTATTTGATATCATATTGAGCAAGATATCCAATTCACTTACTAATTCCATATCATGATTATCATCTGATTCAATTTACTTATTCTGTTATTTTTTCCCCTCTGTTTTTTTTTATTTAAGATGTTTTGGAGTGTATGGGGTATGGTACGACAACATTTATTACCAGTGAAACGACCACGTGTAGTAGTTGAAATTGGTGGACATAAATTAGAATCGGAAATTATTAATGATTTATCAAAAATGCCACTTTTTGATACTCCACTAAAAGCAATGGATGTGGTAAGAGTTTAAAATGAGCTGGTTTCAGTCAATTTAATTTTTTGTCTTTTGTTTTTGTAATACGGGGTTGTTGTGAAGATTGTTAAGTTACACATTTTCGAAAGCATGAATCGATCAATGTTAGACCACCGTTAGAAACCTGGAAGCATTGAAAGACGGCCGTTTCCTCCTGGTACGGCACTCATCAGTGGCAGTAAGCATCCACCACTCCTGCACCCCGCAGGATTCGAACACAGGGCCTTCGGTATTGTGTGCGAAAGCCCTAACCGTTACACCACAGAGCCGGTATCTGACGGTGTTAATGTCTAACTTGATCAAATTCACGGAGTTGCGCAACCTCATACACAGTCTTCGGTAGACACTGCCTACACCCGAACAGGTTGAACTCCATCGGTCACGTCTTCACCACTAGAACTCAGAGAAGATTCCTCACGAAGCTAGTCACTAGTGAGCACAGGTAATTTGCATTACGGGGTTGTGAAGATTGTTAAGGTACACATTTTTGAAAATAGATTTTCATAAAGATTTCCTATGTGTGTATCTCATGCAAACATACATACAAGTGAATAGTGAATGATTTTATTTTGAGCGCTACAAAATATGTTTTTGTTGGGGATGTTAGATCCCTAGAACTCGCTTGATAAATACCTTAATTTTGGACTTCGTGTTTGCCAGCATTGGCTGATCAGTTGACCTTGAAACTTCATTTTCCACCAGGAATTGCCATGGCTTCGATTGGTTGCTGTGTATATTTTAGTGCGCTCTTTTTGTGACTTTCACAAGGACGTTTCTATGATGTATAAATAAACGAGAGTTGTGTGCTTGATTGCATTGTGATTGCTGGGGGTTGTAGAATATACTTTCTAGTCTTCTGTTTTGCAGTGTGGGATTCAAGGTAGCCTACCTGAACTCTGATTAATTGTCTCGTTCGCGTTTATCGACTAAGGTGAACTCGTAATAACTTCTTCAAGCGTACCTTGTGACGAACATAACAGTTTTTAATGAGTGATCGATAACCGATTAGCTAATTGAAAATGTTGCTTACTTATTCATATTTATTTGAATTTGATCGTTTTCTTTCTTCTAGTATTTACCAGTGGATGAACGTTATTGGCCACCGTTAGTTTTTACATGTTTTGATAATCGTATACTTGGTACAAAGATCACTGTTGGCAGTCATACAATTTCTAATGCACGTGACTATTTAGTATTTGATATGGACAGTGAGTTTCTAGTGCATAAACATTCCCATCTATTGTAACTAAAGTTGACTGTTCGTTTGAAAAAAAAAATGCCCGTTGAAAGTGAAATTAATCAGCCGTGGTTTGTAGAAAAACGATACCGAAGTAACAAATGCATTTAGACTGTTTAACTGGTTTATTAATTTGCGAATACCATGTTTTATGGATAGTAGTAATATTCGCAATCAATACTCGTTTTCAGGTGCAAGCACCTACCTATCCTAAGTAGGTCAATGTAGATTTAGAGTTTTTTTTATCAGTTGATACTGAAGCATAGCTCGTGTATCATTGGACAACCAAGTAATCAATGCTATCGTTAGGAAACGAGTACTAGGTAAGGATGACAAATCTATAGATGAAGTAGTGAAACTTCATCATTTGAAGTGGTTGTGACATGTGTTGCGTATGCCCAACCACCGACTGCCTCGTCGAGCTTTGTTTTGTAGTGTAGGAATAGGTTGGAAGAAAGTTAGGGTCGGCCAAACCAAAACATGGCAGAAATCCATGAAGTCTTTGACAAGTGGATTGAGTCATGTTGGTAGGTGTCGACTACCTGGTTGGCGTCCGAAAGATGGAAGCCACTGATGGTTAGAGATCTTCAAAGACATAGCTCAAGTGATTACTATCATTAATATTTCGAAAATCAAACAATCAATGAAATGTGTACTTCACTGAGAATGCTAATGTTGTTTATTTCAAAAAATTCTCGTCAATTGTGGAATACGTTTTAAAAATTGAATGGCAAATATCAAATCATTTCCATTATGATTGATTATTCAGCTCGATTCTGTTCTTGAATAATTAAAAGTTGTGGAGCTTTCATTGTTCTTCTAAACAACTTCATCAGCACAAACTTCCGATAGCAGAAGTGAAGTATTCAAATTTCTCCACATTTCACCCGTTGTGGTGGTGTTTCGTTCTCTGAGCTGGTTGTTTTGATTGTGGAGCTTTCATTGTTCTTCTGAACAACATCATCAACACAAACTTCAGATAGAAGTGAAGTATCCGGATTTCTACACGTTTGACCTGTAGCTTGTTCTGCTAACCTCGATCTTGATTGGTTGCTGTTGACCTTAAATTTGTCGTTGTTTGCACCTATGTTTTGATTGTAACCCTCTTTTGATCTGTTTCTTGATCCAATGTCACCTATGATTGATTGATGAATTGGATCAATGTTGATGTGTTTGTTGATTGCTGATTGACCTGAGTGCCAGGTTTCTAAAATTTCACTAGTGTTCTTTGGCCTCCACCTACCCAGTATTTCCACATTGTTCCAATCGAATGACATAGGATGAAGAAACATATCAAAAGAGGGATACAATCAAAACATAAGTGCAAACAACCACAGGTTTAAGGTCAACAACAACTGATCAAGATGGAGGTTAGTAGAACAAGCTACAGGTCAAACGTGTAGAAATTCGGATACTTCACTGCTTCTATCTGAAGTTTGTGCTGATGATGTTGTTCAGAAGAATAACAATGAAATCTCCACAACCAAAACAACCAGCTCAGAGAACCAAACATCACCACATTCATCCACCTGAGCTAAAAGTTTTCTCCACCATCTCAACATTTCACTCGTATCTGGTTCTGTTGACCTCGATCTTGATTAGCTTTTATTGACCTTAAAACTATCATTGTTTGCACCTTTATTTCGATTGTATCCCTATTCAATCTAAATAACTTATAATCACTGAATGATATATGAGAGTATTATCCTTGAACCAGATAATAAATTTTTCACCGTAGTGTAGTGGATACTATTCTCAACTTGGCCTTATATGTAGTATGCAGCTGAGTGTTACCTGGAAATTAAGATTGGAATGTACGACGCAATCAAAGTGTTTTGAAAAGTATATGAAAAAATACACAACCAGTAATCTGATTATTTTACAAATGAAAGTGTACATATTTTCTAAGTAAACTATGTCTTCTCTAAAATAATTACCCTTCTACCCTAATAATCTAAACATCTCCATTCATTACAATTGAATCAGATAGTTTCAAAAATTATTTTGGCGCGAAATAAGCAAGCTATGCAGTACTTCTTAGTTTTCAATATTCAATTTATGGTAGGAATCCTCCTAACTGCTATCGATTTAAAAACAAATATAACTGTTAGGATATTCACTAAATATCCTAAGAGTACTATTTTTGGAAGTATTATCCTATTGGTCGGTTTCTATCGGTCAAAATTATGGCATTTTAACTGTCAAGGTCAAATACTTCAATGTTGTCTCTGATTGGTCATCCGAACTGTCAATGTCATTTCAAACGTTCTTTCCTATTGGCCGTCCTAAACTGTCAATGACACAGACTTCGGTGCCCTTTCCTTCCTTACTTACTTACTCCTGTTACCCCCAATCGAGCATAGGCCGCCCACCAGTTTTCTCCAACCAACTCTGTCCTGGGCTTCCCTCTCTAGTTCTGTCCAATGTTTGTTCATTCTTCTCATATCTTTCTCTATTTCTCGGCGTAATATATTCCTTGGCCTTCCTCTTTTCCTTTTGCCTCGAAGGTTCCAAGTGAGGGATTGTCTCGTGACGCAGTTAGGTGCTTTACATAGTGTGTGTCCTATCCACCTCCACCACTTCTTCCTGATTTCCTCCTCCATTGGAATCTCGTCTGTTCTCTCCCACAGTACGTTGTTGCTGATCGTGTCTGGCCAACGAATACGAAGTATTTTGCGTAGACAGCTGTTAACAAACACTTGTATCTTCTGGATAATGGCTTTGGTAGTTCTCCTAGTTTCCGCTCCAAACAGTAGAACCGTCTTGACATTTGTATTGAAAATCCTGATTTTGGTTTTGGTTGACAGTTGTTTGGAGTTCCAGAAATTTTCCAACTGTAGAAATGCAGCCCTTGCTTTGTCAATCCGCGCCCTCACATCTGCATCCGATCCACCTTTCTCGTCGATGATGCTGCCCACATATGTAAAGGTGTTAACGTCCTCCAAATGCCCTTTCCTACTCGACCTAAATGTGACAAATACGCACTATCTGTAAGACTTCATGATTCCAATTCCGCTTGTTCCTGCCTACCTCCTCTCTTCTGTACTCGACCCAATTAACAACTCCATCCAACGGTGTTGCGTTCTGATATATATAGGAGATTTTGTAATAATAGTATTTGGGTCGTATTGGAATATTTGAATTCGGACGTCGGTAGGATTTGAATAGCTACGTAGCAGCATTAAAACCAATAACTAATTCCCTTAAAAAAAAACTAATATTTGTTTAAATCTTTTAAAATATTATTATCAGTAAAAAAAGAAAAGAATTCAATTCTGTAAATTTCTTTTCAATAGATCAATTATCAGACAATGCAAGTACCATATACATGGATAGTGAATCCGATGGTCCAGGGAAGCTGAATTTTGGTTTTGGGAAAGGTAATACTTATCAACTCAATGAGAATGGACCAAGTTTAGACATGTTAACAACAGCAACGACGACGACACCGGCACTGCCATTATCATCTTCATCATTATTACCAATTCAGCCAAATGAGAATGAATTTGATCGGAAAACAACAATTGAAACAACTGGTTTATCCACAGTGGATTTATTAGCTGATATGAATCCGAATTTTCAAAAATATTCTCTACAATATAAATTACCAGATAATGCTGGTGATTTAGATTTGCTATCAATAGATGGTGATAATTTTGGTCAAATTGGTATGGATAAGAAACCGAGTGAAGTATTACCTGGTCAAGTAGGAAATGTTAAATTTGCTCACAATTTTTCTTGCATAAATCTTTTCTTGAAATTTTTGATAGTGACCATTTGAAGAGTATAATAGTAGTAACTTGTTATAATGTAGAAATATGTAAGTAAACTTACTTTTTACGCCTATTATTGTTAAAACGCATGAACGTAAACATGTCATTTTGATATGTTTGAATTATTACGAGTTTACTTTAGTCGGAAAACGAGAGCAAGGATCGAGGATCCGACGACACGACAAGCTACTCTAATCCTAGTGCCCAAAAAGCCCAATGAGTAATAGAAGAAGACTTGGATATGAAGTAGAACCTGTATTCTACAAGCATCCAGAAAGTATGAGGTCCGAATCTAGAAGAGGTTAAGGATCCCGGACTAGGGATCCGGAACCGGGTCCTGGTCCTGGTCATAAAACGTTACAGATAATGCATATTTATACAGTTACGTCGAATAGGAAACAGCATCGAGGTCTGTGACATTGACAGTCAAGACGACCAATAGGAAGCAAGATTTGAAGTGACATTGATAGTCAGGACAACCAATAAGAAACAACATTGGAACACGTGACACTGATAGCTAGGAAGACTATAATATTGACCAATAGAATTTTTACTTACAGAATGATTCGGTGAATATCCTAACAGTTATCCCCAATGGAGCATAAGCCATCGACCTGTATTCTTCAACCTACTCTGTCCTGGGCGTCCGTTTACAGTTCTGTCTGATTGTTGCTGATTCTTCTCATGTCTGTTTCCTTTTCTCGCCGTAGTATGTTCCAGATAAAGTGCATTAATTGTATATTCTATTGAACTGAAAGTAATTTTTTTGTACAATTTTGTACGCATATGACAGTGTAGTGTAAATCTAGGGAATATTAGATGTCTCTGATTAGTAGATATTTACACATTGAAATCATCAATCAATCATTGTTAGACTACCATTAGAAACCTAAAAGCAATGACTGATTGATGATTTCAATGAGTTCGCGCACAGGACCGTTGGTCCTGGCTTTGAATACCGCGAGTAGCAGGATTCATGGATGTGTACTGATAATGAGTCCCATACCAGGACGAAACGGCCGTCATACAGTCCTTCCAAGTTTCTAATACTGGTCTTACAATGACTGACTCATCATTTCAATGTGTAAAAACATTGATCTCCATAAATCTAATTGAAAAAAATAGAAGATATTTGCTTTATTCTTCTAATGGATTAAACTGCAAGATCATGCATGGAGGATAGCTAACAGACTCGTTCGAATTAAAGGCTAATGCCAGACAAGGTTGCTTACTCTTACCCTTTCTCATTCTCCTAGTGATCGAATGGATTATGAAGACGTCAGTATCTAGGGGGAAGCACGGAATAAGGTAGACATCTTAGAGGCAGTAGGACGATCTGGACTTGGTAGATGACCTAGCTGTCTTCTTCAACACGCAACAACAAATGCAGGAGAAGACGGCCAGTATAACAGCAGCCTCTATACCAGTAAGTCTCAACATACGCAAAGGAAAAAGCAAGATTCTCAAATACAACATAACTGATAATCTGACCAATAAAGATAAAGAGATATAATTTATCTCTCTAAATTAATCAATTATACAGATTGAGTATATTTCAATGACCAAGTAAGATTGTTGAGTATTGCCTCTTAATGAACATACACAGATAGTCAGCTTTGAGTGATGTACGATCGCTTCATTATATGACAATGTAAATATCAGTAAGGAACTCTGCCTGAAGCCCCTCTGGGGCCCGGATAAAGGAGGAGGTTAGGGCGTGAGGATGGCGACCCCATCCCGTAGAAAACTAACTTGCGAAAAAAACGCCAACCAGAAGAAAAACAATTCAAACCATTTAACCTCTGCCCTGGGAGTTAGAAGGTCTTTATTCAGAAGGGTTACGACGTCTCACGATGAAAGACGAGTCCCTTCGCAAGTCACAAGGCCGATGCCCCTCCTGACAGGGCACAAGTTAAGGAAAACACCTAAATGCCTCACAAGACAGGCCCTCACTTGGAAACTTCAAAGTCAATGGAGAAGAAGGAGGCCAAGGAACACATTACGTCAAGAAATGGAGATAGACATGAGAAGAATAAGCAAAAATTGGGCAGAACTGCAAGAGGGAGGCTTAGGACAGAGTAGGCTGGAGAATACTGGTTTGACAGTCTACGCTGTATTGGGAGTAACAGGTGTAAGTTTTTTTAAGCAAATATCAGTAAAGAGATGATTTAAGTTGATATCAACATCTTTCATTGATTACTTTCACTCTGCTCATGCTCTAGGCTCATCTTGTTACAACACACTCTGGTCCAACACCTGAACAATTAGCTACAGCTGATTGGTGGACTCGATTTTATGTGACTATACGAAGTGGTGAAACGAATTTCGATGATTCTCGATATAAAGTGAGTTTCAATTTTGGCTCATTCTAATTTTTCTGAAGAAAAACATCAAATGTCTGTATAGTTTTCATTATTGATCTAACAAACAGAAAGACAATCTGGATGAAAAAGAGTTGTATGTGTGTGTAAGTAGTGAAGTAATGAACAACCCAGTACTAGTTGGAATTTTAATAGACTACTTTCTTTGATAATTATCAATATATTCATTGTAATTGGGGGCTAAAGAATGAAACAGTTTAAATAAGACTTCTTAGATAACAGCTTTAAAAACGCTTCCTTTATCTGTTGCTCAATTTGAAGAAAAACTTGCTTAGCAGTAGTATATCCTAAATGATTAACTCCATCTATGATTACAAATTACATATTGTAGTGAACGAGAACACAGGTGGGGCAATCGGATTGTATTCAGCGAAAATTACAGTTACTCAGTAAAATCGGAACACCATATCGTAATTCGTTCATTTGCAAAATAACAGTTCATCATATCGAACTGAACTGTTCCTGTTGCAAAACATCAATCCATTGTCACTACTATTCATGCGTTTCATACAAATTCCATTGTATTTCTAACTCTTCCTTTTTTGATCTTCCCCCATCTTCTGCTGCCAGACATTATGTTGACACTCACGTCATATACTACTCATATGTAGCTCACACCACAATATGACTGAATAAACATTGATTAAGGATGCTTAGATTGTTAAAATAAATTGAAATAATCAAAGTTAAGTTCTATGAAATGTATTTTAGTTGACAAATCTAATGAAAATAAGAATAAGTCGAACTTTTTTAGTTGACAGTGATTTATTGATAGAACTCCGGGAATTTCTTAACAAAGCTAGTCGATAGTAATCAGAGGAGTTCACTGTTGTCAGGTGTAGACAATTATCTACCGAAGAAAAGGGATTAAATTTAGACATTAACAAGTTTGGATGTCAACTCAGTAGTCTAGAGGTTAAGCGTTCGCGCGTGTGGCTGAAGGTCCTTAGTTCGATCCCCATGGAACGGGAGTCGCGAATGCCCACTGCTGATGAGTCGCATCCTAGGACAAAAGGGTTGTCTTTCAGTGATTCTAGGTTTTTTATCGTGTTCTGACAACGACTGCTTCACAATTTCAACGTAATACAACAATCTTCATAATCCTATATAATGAAAAGTCAATGTTAATTATTGTAAATATCATTACCTTGCACATCTATGTTTCATGAATTTATCATCACGTAGATCAATCAGAGTTAGACATTAACACCATTGGATGCCGACCCAGTGGTCCTATGGTTAGACGTTCGCGCACAAAAGTGAAGGTCCTGGGTTCGAATCCTGCAAGGTGCGGGAGTTGTGGATGCGCACTACCACTGATGAGTCCCATACCAGGACGAATCGGCCTTCCAGTGCTTCCAGGTTTCTAATGGTGGTCTAATAATGATCGATTGATGATTTCAAATGTGTAAAGTGGTTAGCCTTACTACTGAATTAGTGTAAAATTAATTTTAAAATTTGTTAGATTCGACTAATGTAATATTCGATCACTTCTCATGATTGGATAATGTAATTTGTATTCAAAGTTGCGTTCGTTTTAATTGAACACACATTTTGTGTCAATTTTTTTCAAATTTTATTTTTCTTAGGGTGAAGTTAATCCACTCACTGAATCAGAAGATAGTGATATTGAAGAGAAACTTGAGAAGATCGATGTAAAATCGGAGAAAGACTCGGAAGGTTTGTTAGTAAATTGTTTGAATCGATCAAATGTGCCATATTTCTGTTGAGAGGTTGTTTCGTGTGAAATTGCACATCATTGGCTGGCTTTAATTATACAGCAAAAAGAGAAATGATGAAACGTTGAATAGCTGTTTTCTTTTCTAGTATACGATTTTTCAGCAATTTGAATGAACAACCCTGACCAGGAAATTAGATGGTGTAGAAAATTTTGTAGCTCAGGTGGATGGTTGTGGTGATGGTGGTGTTTGGTTCTCTGAGTTGGATGTTTTGGTTGTGGAGCTTTCATTGTTTTTCTTCTGAACAACATCATCAGCACAAACTTCAGGTAGAAGTCAGATAGAAGTTTGTGCTGATGATGTTGTTCAGAAGAACAATGAAAGCTCCACAACCAAAACCACATCCAGCTCAGAGAACGAAATACCACCACTGACCAGGAATCGAACCCATGACCATCGGACTTAGCTGTCGGCGCCTAATATATAGATCTTTGAGTTTATATGAAAAATTTACAACTAAACCTATTAGCTGATGTAAACCGTTAGTCAGTAAATTCATCAGATGTTCATTGTTTATGATTACATCTCTATTATCATTTTCATTGCATAACATATATCTGTGTAATAAGTAGTACTATTGACGAGGAATAACTTAACGCCAACTTTATAAGTCATATTGAATTAATGCCATTCTGAGATCGAATACACTGCTTATTAACTCCTGTTATCCTCAATGGAGTAGAGGCCACCGACCAGCATTCCCAAACCTGGTCTATGACTGGCAGTGACTGCAGGAAGGCTTCAGGTTCGAGTTAGATCAAGTAAGGTTTGAAGAAAAGTCAAATTATTTGTCTATCCGAACGGAAGATAACTGTTTTAATTTTATGATTTATATTCAGGTGAAAATGTTAGGTCAAAAATGAAGTCATTAAACCAATTTTATGTAACACAGTGAGAAACATTTGAAAGTAAATAATCTGCAAACATTATTTTAGAGGCATTTACCTTGTCAACATTTAGTTTACTCTAAGTCTGCAAGATTTTTCATTTTTCAAATTTGAACTAATTCAACGAAACTATAAATGTAACAACTTATGGGTTCAGTCGCATTCACTTATATTTCAATAGACAATAAACTATTTTTCATTAAAAAACCATGTAGGTCAAGACAGATGCTCCATCTTAATTGGAGACTTTTTGATAGTACTCTGTGTGTATACTCTTGAGAGCTTCACGAGTGCTGATGGCCTGGTGTTTGATGAAATCTCAGCACGGATACAGAAAGCTCGGTTGGCTTTTGATAACTTGCGTCACTGATGATGTAGGTGAGATATCCGTATGCCAGAAAAAGGACAAGTCTAGTGCGCAGCAGTTCGCCCGTCCTACTATATGGGTATGGCCGGTAAGAGAAGAGGATATTCGTAGGTTACTGGTTTTCGATCATCAATGCCTCCGGAGCAAAGCTCGAGTATTGTGGGACAGTCTAGTAAGCAATGCTGTTGTTAGGAAATGGGTGCTAGGTAGAGATAGCAGATCAATAGATGAAGTAACGAAACTTCATCAGTTGGGGTTGTTTGGACATGTGTTACGTATGCCTAACCACCAACTGCCTCGTCGAGCATTGTTTTGCGATATAGGAATAGGTTAGAAGGAAAATAGGGGCGGCCAGACCAAAACATGGCAGAAATCCATGAAGTCACTGACAAGTGGATTGAGTCATGTTGGTAGGTGTCGACTACCTGGTTGGGGCCCGCGAGATGATAATAATCGATGGTTAGAGACCCTGAATGACATGGCTCAAAACCGTTTGCAATGGCACAGGTGCATTTATTCTTTGTGTTCTCTCAAATCCTAACTTCGGATTTCCTCATCATCTTTATCTTTTTAAGTTTATTTCACTAGATTCTACTTCTTGAATAATATCTTCGAACCCTAATCTTTCCGATTATTGCTAATACCTTTACCACCTCAACTACTATTGGATTTGAACGTACGTACGACGTTCTACGACTTAACAGACTGACTGACCCAAAGTTTGGTTGTCCTGAAATATTGTCTGATATCCTTTTTCACTAGTGAAAATAAATTCCGATAAGCACAAACATGCATAAACAAAGTATTGTTTCGTTCAAATATAGTTATCTTCGACAGTAGCCCAAAGTTTTTAATGATATAAACTACCTTCACTACAAGCAGACACTCATACATCTAACCGTAGTTATAATAGTTTATAGCTGTAAAAACTTCAGTTAATCAATCACAAGTAAAACCATCTAATATATTTGGATAGAACAGTGAGAAGAAGTAACTGATCTGAAAAATTTTGTAATGTATTTGCGCTATACATAGTTCGAACAGTCTAGTAACACTCATTTACACTTGTCAAGGTATTTTATATGAAAATTAAAAAAAAGGTCAATTGAATACAAGTTCAACTAGACATCAGGTGATCATTGTAAATGAAGTAGACAGAGAAAATTAACGTTATATCGAAAAAATAAGAAAGGGTCATAAAATGGCCTAAAGATGATTACCAGAGTAAACTCAAGGTTATGACAAACTGTTTCTGTACACATAAGGTGGGAGGTTTAATTTACGAATAGCCAAGGCTTCCATTAACCTCAAAATTCGTCCTTCAAGTTAGAAATTTGTATAACACAAATACATCACAACATTTTTCAGATCAATTACGCCTTCTCACTGTTCTATCAAAATTTGCATAGGGGAGTTATTGTTTCAATAGTTTCCGATTAGAATTATGGAGATTAGTGTTTGTTGCACACTGAAATCATCCATCAATCATTATTAGACCACACCGTCAGAAAACTGGAAGCACTAGATGACCGTTTCATCCTGGTCTGGGACTCATCAGCAGTGCACATCCGTGACTTCTGAACCTCGTGGGATTCGAACCCACGACCTTCGGTCATTGTTTTAAATCTAATATACGTAGGTATATCAACTGCAAAATCATACACGAAAGACAGCTAACAGACTCTTTCGAGGTGAAGACCGGTGTCAGGCAAGGTTGCCTACTCTCACTCTTTCTCTTTCTCCTGGTGATCGACTGGATTATGAAGACGTTAGCATCTGGAGGGAAGCACGGTATCGACTGGACAGTTAGGACGCAGCTGGACGATTTGGACTTCGCAGATGACCTGGCTCTTCTATCTCACACGCAACAACAAATGCAAGAGAAGACGACCAGTGTAGCAGCAGCCTCTGCAGCAGTAGGTCTCAACATACATAAAGGAAAAAGCAAAATTCTCCGATGCAACACAACATGCACCAACCAAATCACTCTTGATGGAGATGCCTTGGAGGACATTAACACATCTACATATCTTGGCAGCATCATCAACAATCAAGGTGGATCCGATGCAGATGTGAGGGCGCGGATTGGCAAAGCAAGGGCTGCATTTCTACAGTTGAAAAATATCTGGAACTCCAAACAACTTTCAACCAAAACCAAAATCATGATTTTCAATACAAATGTGAAGACAGTTCTACTGTATGGAGCGGAAACATGGAGAACTACGAAAGGCATCATTCAGAAGATACAAGTATTCATTAACAGTTGTCTACACAGGATACTTCATATTCGTCGGCCAGACACGATCAGCCACGACGAACTGTGGGAGAGAACAAACCAGATTCAAATGGAGGAGGAAATGAGGAAGAAGCGGTGGAAGTGGATAGGACACACATTGCGGAAAGCACCTAACTGCGTCACGAGACAAGCCCTCACATGGAACCCTCAAGGCAAAAGGAAAAGAGGAAGGCCAAAGAACACACTACGCCGAGAAATAGAGAAAGATATGAGAGGAATGAACAAACATTGGACAGAACTGGAGAGGGAAGCCCAGGACAGAGTTGGTTGGAGAAAACTGGTGGGCGGCCTATGCTCCTCTATTGGGGGTAACAGACGTAAGTAAGTAATACGTAAGTATATATCCTTGTACTAAGAATCAATTATTTCCTCCTTTCTTTCTCCATTAAAAACAGAGGAAATCGATACAATGACTGGAACAAAACCGAATTATTTAAATTATAAACTGAAAAAGAAATGCTGGCAAAGAACTAAAAAGGCGGAGAAGAAAAAACTTACCGCTTTAGAAAAGCGTCAGCTGGAAATTGCTCGACGTAGAGCTAAAATTGAACGAAGAAAAAAAACGAAAAAAAATTTAAAAGCTAAAATTAAAGCAAGATTTGTAAGTAACATTCACATTTCTTTTGTTCTTGTCTGTTTAAAACAATTTTAAATATGTTATGGAGAAGTGGATAGGACACAAATATGGCAAACTCGAACTTGAAATCCTCAAGGCAAAAGTAACAGAGGTTGATCTGTTGACACGCTGCATCTAGAATTCGAAAACAGACATAATTTGGCAGAACTTGAAAAGAGACCTGAAGACACAGTAGGTGGGTGAATGGTGGTCGGCGGCCTACGTTCCATTAGGACAGGACAGCAGGTGTATGATCTCTCTAGTATGACTATTGATATGTTTGCCTATATTACCTGTATAAGTGATGATTTTCTATTGACCCAAAGATACAGTGATCAATGAGAAGAAGACTTTAACGTTTGTTGGTATTCCAGATACTTGTAACTCAGTCTCCAGTCAGAAGATGAGGATGGAAAGTAGTTCTTGTCTGTATAAGCTACTCAATCATTATTCCAAACTCACAGAACAATCTACTTGAAATGTCTGACAACTTACTTACTCACTTACGCACTTACTACTGTTACTCACAATGGAGCATAGGTCGCTGACTAGCATTCTCAAACCTGTTCTGTCCTGGGGCTTCCGTTCCATTCTCACCCAATTACTGTTTATTATTTTCATGCCTACCTACAATTCTCGGGACAATGTACTCATTGGTCTACCTCTTTTCCTTCAGCTTTGAAAAATCCAAGTTAGGGCTGGTCTTGTGATGCAGTTAGATGCTTTGCTCAATGTATGTCCTATCCACCACTAGTAATATTTCTTTATCTCTTCCTCTGCCAGAATCTGGTTTGTTCCATCCCATAGGAGAGTTGATCCTGAAGGTGTCTGGCTAACAGGTTCATAGTTTCTTACGTAGAAAACTGTTAATAGACACTTTTACCTCCCAGGTTATTTCAGATTTGAATTATTGTTGTTACTTAAATAGAGTTATACACATACGCATGTACGCATACACATATTTGACAAAGAGTATTGTTTTATGATTTTTTAGATTGATTCAAAAGGATTATTTTTAAAAGAATTTATTGATTTAAACTATGATATTGAAACTCAAGAAGATCAAAGTTGGGTAGAAACAATATTAGTAAGTCTTTTTAGATAATTTCACATTTGAAATGAGAAATTGATGAATGAATGAATGTAATAAATTTTGCACCTAAATTTATACTACTAACAGATTACATATCAGTAATACATTTGTTGTTGTTAAAAATTGGGCAGAGATTAGTTTTTAAAAAAAAAAACTTATAAAATAGATAAAATGATAACAATTAATCTGTTTGTTTTTAAATTAGAAATAACAAAAACGCTAAAGCTGAAGAAATCGTAAGTATCGAAAAATATATGAAAGGGAATTGTATATGATTGTCTCTATCACACCTTCACTGACTACAATGTTAAACACTATGTCTACAAGAGTAAACAGTAATTATTTTTGTAATAGCGTCCATGATATCCGAACTGCATAAAATTGTTCAAAATAAATGTATAATGTCAGTCGTAATAGTGTTTCAGAAATAGGCTATGGTTGAGAACTTGCGACACATCTCAACTATCTTATGAGACAGAAGTTTATCGTTTCAGTCATTGATTTATCGTTCTTATCTACCTTCAATGCTACTCAAGGAACCAGTGTTTTGAGAAGATCAATGACCAAATACTATTAGCATTTCCAGACATCTCATCGATTTCACAGATCAGATAATTCATCAGCATTGTTGATCAACGTTCAATGCTTTTGGTAGCGTTACATTCATTGAATTGTACGGCCTAATTGTGAAGCTTTTATTATGATTCCAGATGAAATCTTTAGCCCCTAAATCAAGTAGAATTGAAGCATTCAAAAAAAAAACATTGATCACAGTTAGAGTACACTATGAGAATCACATACTACCGGACAGCTAGTTTCGTTCTGATATGGAACACTTTACCGGTATACATGGACTACTACTCCGTCAGAGATCGAACACAATTAGGTCATTATGACATAATCATCCAGCACATAGGATATGGCCTATCACTTCACAATTCAGTGTACGATCTAAACTGAGCTTTCGGTTGAGGAATAACTGTCTAGGTAGTTTAGATACGCGTCTCGAAACCAGAACAAGTGATTTGGGTAAATAACGGTTCTAATATTCATCATAAATATAAATATACATCATTACCTAAACAAATATTACCACTCAGTTATTCCACCAACAGTTATTCAATTAATCAAATTAACAGCAACAGATTAGTGATATTCTATCCCTCCTGGATAGATCAGATTCCTTCAAAAGATAATATTTGGTTGCTTTATAACACAGAGTGTTTCCTATTCTTGAAGAGTGCTTCAATTCACAATCAAAATGCACAATTTCAGTCCAAGCAAGCAACACAATCAAAAGAGGAACAAATCAATATGGCTGACGCCATGACTAATAAGTATCAGTTTAAACAACATAAATGCAGTTCAGAATGAAACGTAGAAACTCAGTGAAGGCAGAAAAAAATAGAAACTATAATAAAATACAAATATTATCACCATTTCAAAATGGAATCAAACAGATTAACAAAATGTACAACTGAAGGAATCAATAAGGACACATTACGAGTATATGCATTGGAGGGATCTTCACAAACAAAGACTTCACAAAATGGATCATACATTCAGTACTTTTGAAACTATAAATAAAACATTCTACTTATTGAATAAAAGTTAAGACAAAAAGTCAATTTCTTTATTCTTCCTATTAATTAATTAATTAATTTATTCGATTTGATTTTGATTATTTTAAAAATTGAAAAGGTGTATCCTGTGGCACTTGAAGAAGTTCCTGATTTTAATGGTTTCAATACACCTTTTCTAAATCTTCCATTTTACAAAGGAAAACAATTAGAAGATCATGCATCTGAAAGTCGTATTACAGGATTTTTCAAGGTAAAAAACATTATTTTGTTTGTTTTTTTGAAGTAGGAGTAAAGAAAATGTGTTTACAGAATTTTACTCTTACTACTACTACTACTACTACTACTACTACTACTACTACTACTACTACTACTACTACTACTACTACTACTACTACTACTACTACTACTACTACTACTACTACTACTGTGGTGTGAGCTACTTATAAGTAGTATATGACGTGAGTGTAAACGTAATGTCTGGCAGCAGAAGATGGGGGAAGATCAAGAAAGGAAGAGTTAGAAAACAATAGAATTTTTTATGAAACGCACGAATAATGACAATGGATTGATGTTTCGCAACAGGAACAGTCCAGTTCGATATGATGAACTGATATTTTGCAGATTAACGATTTACGATATGGTTTTCCAATTTTACTGAGTAACTCTGTAATTATCGTTTAATACAATTCGGTTGCCCTCACCGGTGTTCTCCTTCACTACACTACTGCTACTACTACTCACACTACTAGAACTACTCATACTAGTACTGCTACTCACACTACTACTACTACCACTCACGACTCTTCTTAAACAAACTTCTACTACTACTGCTGCTACTCACACTACTACTACTACCATTACTCACAGTACCACTACTACTCACACTACTACAACCACTACTACTGCTATTAATAATAATAGTTTAGAGTATAACAAGATGTTGAGACCAACAAGATCTATGCTAGACTTGCTTGAATATCTGGTCTACATGTTTTCCTAACATCGGATTTACTCTAACAAGTTTCCACTTTTGTGTTTGTTTTAATACATCAATTTATATCTATTTTTATTGCATAATCAATTTAGGTGAGTATCAATAAAGTTTATGACCTATCACTCTTCATATGGTTTAAAAAAAGTACAATCCACAATATCACAGTGGTTGGTAATATGAATTGAAAAGGAAACTTGTTCAAATATTCCATGCTGAGAATTATATATTGTATTAAACAAACATAATATTGAATATAGCCATTACTATTATCATCACTCTTTAAGTAATAATTTAAACATAAGTAAAAATCTTTCACTATTTTATTGTATGTCCTAATCTGTGATAATACTTAGGCTATTTTTTACTTACTTACTTACTTACTTACTTATATCTGTTCACTGCAGTGTAGCATAGGCCACCGACCAGCATTCTCTAACCTACTCTATTCTGAGTCTTCCTTTCCAGTTCTGTTCAATCCTTGTTCATCCTTTTCATGTGTGTCTTCGTTTCTCGGTGTAAAATGTTGTTTGGTTTCTTTTTCTTTTCGTTTGACCTTGAGGATTTCATGTGAGGGCTTGTCTTGTGACGCAGTTGGGTGATTTCTTCATTGTATGTCCTATCTACCTCCAGTGTTTTTTTCCTAATTCATTCTTCTGCTGAAATCCATTTTGTTCTTTCCCACAATAGGTAGGTTGTTATCCACGGTGTCTGGCCAGTATTTTGCGTAGACAACTGTAAATAAACATTTGTATTTTCTGGGTAATAACTTTTATAGTTCTCCAAGTGTCCGCTCCATACAATGGGATTGTCTTTGACCTTGGTGTTAGGTTACAATGTTGTTATGTGTTTCAGATGTAAAAAACCAACTCGTTAAAAGAATGCTAACCAGAAAAATTAATTCAAATGGTTATTGTAATATTCGAAAAAAATGTTAAAAATTACTTTCTACTGATATTCTTAATTCTCTTTTATAAAATTAATCATCACAGTAATGACTGAGCGTAAATTTTTGAATTTCACAGTATTCATCATGATTTGACGTTAGTTAGTGAATCATTAGAAACGAGGAAACAACGGATGACAGTCTCATGTCATCAGTGAATGTCAATAAAACTTTCAAACCACTTGGACTCAGAACTAACCTAATGAAGTAAATCCCTAATTTCTAGTGGAAAGTTGTAATCACTTAAGTTGAACAATATCACATTTAAGAGAGTCACCCACTAGTAGTAGTGTGGTGCGCGCTACTTATAAGTAGTATATGACGCGAGTGAAAACATTATGTCTGACAGCAGAAGATAGGGGAAGATCAAGAAAGGAAAAGTTATAACACAATGGAATTTGTATGAAACGCATGAATAAGTGAAATGTCAGACAATGGATTGATGATGGATTGAAGATTTGCAAATTAACGATTTACGATATGGTTTTCCTATTTTACTGAGTAACTCTGTAATTTTCGTGATAAATACAATTCGGTTGACCTCACCTGTGTTCTCCTTCACTACAGTAGTACTAATGAAAAACTGTTGTAAACTACTTCAAATTGATTGAAATTTGTATTACAAATCATCAGATATGAACTGAGTATTCTAAAGATTAGATGCTCACCAGATAATCTCAAGTGCTTAGGTTCAATTACTAATGAGGTCTTGAATATTTACTGCTGACGATTCCCGAACTATGACGAAATATCTTCCCAGTATTATTTGCTTTTCAATTGTTCCTTAACTAAGGCCAGTTCATAATGTAAACTAAAGTTACGAATGAGATTATAAAACAGGTGATATAACAAAATCTTATCCTAACAATTTTTCAATAAACGACAACTCTACTTATATACAAATCGATTTATCAAAACCGCACAAGACTATATCATACATGTAAGACGTTTCATTGTACTTCAGAAGAAAAAAAATAGTAATTATTATCAATGTATTGCATACCTTTTTTTCATTTGTCTATGTTTTTATTACTATTACTTACTACTATCACAGGGTAATTTAGTTATTTATCCAGTGAATGATGATGAACCATTACCAACAGAAATGTCACAATTAAAATTATATAAAACATTACCAATTAAAGCCAAATACAAATTAACTGTACGATTATATGTTATACGAGTAAGTAGATTTTTTTAAAATAATAATTGAACTACTGTTTTGAATTTCAGTAGTATCATTATTATTATTATGATAAATTTTGTTGAATCATAAATATATAAACTGATTTAGAAAAATATTCCTTTATTCAATAAATTAATCTTTTTAAAGGGAGGATAGCCAATCGTAAAGTTGATTACAAATTTATTGGGTACAAGTGATTAATGTGTGTTGACTTATCCAAAATAAATATATTAAGTTGAATATATGAATATATGTTTAACGAAATAATAAGATTAGTGATCAGAATAAATTGAGATATCATGAGTTGATAGAAATAATAATGAAGTTATACAATGGGCCTGTGATTTGGTTACATAATGGATGAAGGATTGAATATGAAATGAAAGAAATATTTGCTTGAATATCCTCAGGGGAACCGCGTTTGTTCGATGGCGGTAATAAGAAGCCAGACATGGATCGACTTAAATAAATCTATTTCAGGCGATCTTTCACTTAGACAGACATGTGAATACGAAGTGTACAGGTAGAGTAAAGCAAATTTGAGAAGGTGAGTGAACTAATTCAATGCGAGAAAGCGTGACTAAGTATTTCTAGTCAGACAAAAATAGACTACACATGTAATAAGCGAATAATTGACAAAGTCAGAAGACGTACGAACAATAACTCCAGAAGAATGGATTAAATAATTTTTCTAAAAGCTGGAAAAAGTTCTGTGAGCTCAACATATTTTTACACACTACAAAATCATATTAAATACCTGGTTGAAAATTGTTGGGGATGTTAGATCTCCAGAACTCGCTTGATAAATGCCTTAATTTTGAATTTCATGTTTGCTAGCATGGACTGATCAGTTGACCTTGAGATTTCATTTCCACCAGCGAAATCCATGGTTGTGATTGGCTGCTGTGTATTTTAGTGCGCTATTTTCGTAACTGTCCCAATGACGTTTCTGTGATGTATAAATAAACGAGAGTTGTGTGCTTGATTGCATTGTAATTGCTGGATATTGTAGAATATACTTTCTACGCTTACCAAGACTTCTGGTTTACAGTTTGGGATTCAAGGTGTGGTGTGAGCTACTTATAAGTAGTGTATGACGTGAGTGTCAACGTAATGTCTGGCAGCGGAAGATGGGGCAAGATCAAGAAAGGAAGAGTTAGAAAACAATGGAATTTGTATGAAACGCATGAATAGTGATAATGGATTGATGTTCGGCAACAGGAACAGTCCAGTTCGATAGGATGAACTGATATTTTGCAAATGAACAATTTACGATATGGTTTTCCAATTTTACTGAATAACTCTGTAATTTCGCTAAATACAATTCGGTTGCCTCACCTGTGTCCTCGTTCACTACATTTGGTGTCACTGCCTGCTCGAAGGAAGGAGCTCCCGTGGCCAAAGGAGTTGCAGGACGGATATTTGCGGAGCCTCCTGGAGTAGTTTGAGGCTACGGTGGAGCTGGTGGGGGCCCGGAACGGAGTTGACGGTGCTGGGGACGCTGCAGGGAGGTGAGGCGAAGGCGGTATACGACAACCTGGACGGTGCCGCCGGGAAGACGGCGTGGGAGACGGTCACCGGGCGGCTGATGGCGGAGTACGACAGCCCAGTGTACAGAGAGGAGGCGCCGCAGAGGTTCCGGTTGGCGCGGCTGTTGGCTGATGTTGACCTGTTGGTGCTTGCTGTGGAGCTCACCAGATTATTGCGCCGTCAGGAGTGGGGGGGCACAGTTGTTGGCGTCGCAATTATTCGAGAGTGCGCCTGCCCCCGTGTCCCAACATCGGGAACTGGTAAACGCTACACGTTGGATAGATGCCGTATCCATTCCAGACCAGCGCGCAAGAACGATGACCGAAGTGGTAATCCGGCATATTGTAGCGTGTCACGGAATACGGAAGGTGATATTAACTGACCAGGGGCCCTGTTTTGAAAGACTACGACGACAGCTTATTAAAAGAGGGGACGAGTGTGGTGTGAGCTACTCATAAGTAGTATATGACGTGAGTGTCAACGTAATGTCTGGCAGCGGGAGATGGGGAAAGATCAAGAAAGGAAGAGTTTGAAAACAATGGAATTCGTATGAAACGCATGAATAGTGACAATGGATTGATGTTTGGCAACAGGAACACGCCAGTTCGATATGATGAACTGATATTTTGCAAATGAACAATTTACGATATGGTTTTCCAATTTTACTGAATAACTCTGTAATTTCGCTAAATACAAATCGGTTGCCCCACCTGTGTTCTCGTTCACTACAAAGGTAGCCTATCTGGACGCTGGTTCATTGTCTCGTTCGCATTTATCGACTAAGGTGAACTCGTAATAGCTTTAAGCGTACCTAGTGACGAACGTAACACAAATCACATACTGTTCAATATGATATGAATTACATGAGATTAGTAAAGTAGATTGAGTCCTAACTAAATTCCTCATGTATTTTCAGTCATAATAATGTAATAAGATAAAGTTACGAAAATGCAAGTGAGACAGTTAAATGTACATTAACTAAATGAGATTCTCTTATAAATAATAGAGTGACTATTTGGCCTATAAACTTTGTGTCACACCACAGTAATAAGCAGCAACTAGATATTATTACTTTTGAACATAAGGCTTCAGTTTTCTAAAAATGTGCGTATACATAGGTTTTACTTTTATCGATCGGAAGACTTTGACTGTGATAGATTTTAGCAGGTAATTATTAAGATTTTATCTTGAAATGATACAGAATATGTTGTTGACACTTGATAGTATTACTACTTGAGCTATTCGAGTGATGATTGATTTACTTACTTACGCCTGTCACCTCTTAATGGAGCTTAAGTCGCCGACCAGCATTCTCCAACCTACTGTCTTGGGCCTTCCTTTCAGGTTCTACACAACTGCTCTTCAAATCTTTTCATATGTGCCTTTATTTCTCGGCGAAATGTGATTCTTAGTCTCCCCCTGTTTTCCCGTGACTTTAAAGATTCCACATTACGGCTTACCATGTGATGCAGTTGGATGGTGTCCTCAATGTGTGTCCTATCCACTGCCTGAAGCACTTTTGGGGTTACTACCTGTCTTAAGCCCGGAAGAAGGGGGTTGTCTGGCAATAAGGCTAGCAACCCCGTCCTGTAGAAAACCAACTCGCTAAAAAAGCGCTAATCATGATTAGAATAAATGATTTTGATGCTATCTTTAACTGACATTGTCGTAGATTGATATACTTAAAACTATTGCGAGTTTAGCTTACTCGGTAAGACCAATAATGCACTGTCACTATAGGTTATTCTAATCCGTTGTCGCAGGCCCCGCTAAGTAGAAGAAGAAGTCTTGATAAACCGTAGAGAATGTATTCTACAAGCACCCAGAAAATACGAGGTGCTTAAGCACAAGCCAAGATAAACCTTCATAACCTAACTTGTATTTTTTTCATACCCACTGTCAGATAATAAGTCATAAGCACAGCACTGATTAAGGTATAAGTTCATCTAACCAGCAATTATACACTTTACCCTTGTAAACACTCCACAATCCGATACCGCAAATTATCATGTTCTCATTAGTGACCAGCTCCATGAAGACGTTTCTCCGAATTTTAGTCAGAAACCATGACTATTGAAGTTCAACTCTGTTCGGGTATGAAGCAGTACTCACCAAAGACAGTGGATAAAGTTTCGCAAGATCATGGATTGATCAAGGTTAGACATTAACATCGTTTGATGCCGGCTCAGCGGTTCAAAGATTAAATGTTCGTTCTCGAGAGACCGAAGGTCCTAAGTTCGATTGCCTGAAGCAACGGTCGTGGATGCGCACTGCTGATAAGTCCCATACCAGGACAAAACAACTCTTCAATGCTTCCAAGTTCCAAATGGTGGTTTAATACTGATCGGTTTATAATTTCAAATATCATAATATGTTTATCTTGTTATATGTATACATTGAATTACTTCTATTCAAATGTTTTTTTTATTAAGGCAATTAAATTACATCCAACTGATCCAAATGGTAAATCTGATCCGTATTTAATTGTATCATTGGGTAAAAGTGTCATTAATGATCGTGATGATTATAAACCGAAAACATTAAATCCAATATTTGGTAAATATTATGAATTTGTAGCACATTTACCAATGGATTCTTTGCTGAGTATACAAGTAAATTGTAAACAAATGAATTGTTTATTATTATTACTGTTTGTATTTTTAAATACTGTGCATTTTTTTGTCCAATATGGTTATTATGGTCATTGATAATAATGATAATATTAATAATCCTAACCTGCTTACGCCTGTTGCCCCCAGTGGAGTATATGCTGCCGAACAGCATTGTCCAATCTACTCTGTCCTCAATCTTCCTTTCCAATTCCACCCAAATGCTTTTGATTTTAAGTGAGGGCTCGTCTTATGACGTATTTGGGTGCTTTCCTCAATGTATGTCCAATCCACCTCCTGCGATTGTTCCTGATTTCTTTGTCTGCTTCCTCTATAGTTTGTTGTCTCCTACATTAAGTTGTCGCAGATGATGTCTGTTCAATGGACTCTCATTATCTTGCGATGATAACTGTTAATAAATAATTATACCTTCTGGATGATGGCTTTGGTAGTTCGCCAAATATCCACCCCATACAGTAGAACTGTTTCGATATTTGCATTGAAAATTATGACTTTGGTTTTGGTTGACAGTTGTCTTGAGTCTCAGATGTTCTTCAGTTGTAGGAATGCTGTCCGTGCTTTGCTAATTCGTCTTTAAATCTGTATCAGGTTCACCTTGTTTATCAATGATGTTATCCGACTGCTGCTAAAGTGGCGATCTTCGCCTAAATTTATTGTTGCATATGCCCTAGAAGAGCCAGATCATCTGAGAAGTCCAGATTAGCCAAACTCCATCCGGGCTGTCCACTGGATTGCGTGCTTCCCTCCAGATGTTAACGTCTTCCATAATCCAGTTGATCACCAGGAGAAAAAGAAAGGGTGAGAGTAATCAACCTTACCTGACACCGTTATTCACCTCAAACGAGTCTGTCAGCTGTCCTCCGTGCACAATTTCGCAATTTAATCCAACATAAAAATTCTATATGATGTAGACTATCTTCTCGATCACGCCGTAATGTCCAAGAAGCCTCCATATTGTCATTCTGTCCATGCTGTCCAATGCTTTTTCATAGTCAATGAAGTTGATCTGCAGTGGTGAATTCCATTCAAATCAATGTTCTACAATGATCCGTAGTGTCACGATTCGTGTCAGTACACGATGGATCCTTACGGAATCCAGCCTTAATAATAATGCAGTGTATCACGAGTATATATTTCTAAGTTTGTTACGACACATTTACTGTTTCCTATTTTGGTGAAGTTATTCTCTGTAAGCTAGAGGATTTAATCTTGTCGCAATCATTATTTGTTTGCGACAAAATTATCAACATAAACTTTTGATAGAAGTATGTTATTCGAATGTTTTTTCCCCCATAAATATGATCATTAGCTTATTCGATTTAGTTATTTCTCATGATTGGAAATAGCACTCATATGTAAATTTTAGTGATAACATAGAGCTGGATAACAAGTGAGCATTATGAATCACACAGTACATGTTAACTTATAGTTCAGCTACTTTTGGAACCTTATTTCTGTTACGTTATACTCTTTAATGTATTTGTTTTCAAAGTAAACTTTGATCAGAAATTCTTTCCTATTTCAATTCGCTTAACCTACAATTCATGTCAGTCAGTCAATCAGTAAGTCAACAACAATGTAGAAATTTGTACGTACCTACGTACATCAGTTCAGGTTGCTATACCACCTAAGCACAGACAGATGCAATTGTCAGTTCAAATCCCATAGTGGTAGAGATAGTAGAAGTATTATCAGTAATCGAAGAGATTAGAGTCTGAAGATACTATTCAAGAAGTTCGATTCAGTGAAATCAATTTAGAAAAGAGAAAGACAGAGGTGTTGAAGAACTTAGAAGATTCGAATTCGAGAGAACACAAAGAATGGATGCATTTGCTCCATCGCAAACAATTTTAAGTCATGTCGTTCAAAGTCTTTAATTATCGGCCACTAACTATCATCTCTCAGACCCCGACCAAGTAGTCTATGCTTACCAACATGACTCAGTCCACTTGTCAGTCAGTGATTTCATGGATTTGTGCCATATTCTGGTTTAGACGCTAAAATGTGATTGTTTTTAATGGTATTGTTTATCTAATTTTTTAAGGTTATGGATCATGAAAGAGTTGGAGCGGACACATTAATTGGTGAAACACATATTGATATTGAAAATCGTTTTCATAGTGCTCATCGAGCTACTTGTGGACTAATGCCAAAATATTATGCGTAAGTATTCGTTTTTTTTTTCTATTTTCAAGTAATTCCTTCCATGAATAGTGTGGTCATATAAACAATGATCCATAATTTAGTTAGTATGTTCAATCAACTGATATCACTACTGTTAATATGAGAGATTATGGATTTAAATAGCTACTTGTAGGAAATAGTAAGCAGTTATTCGATTGCATACACATATTCGTTAAAGCAATAAATAACAATGATAATAATTGTTTCATTCAATATGATCTCTTTTGGTAAAATATGGAACTTTCAGTGTAAAAACTGTTAAGGATGTTAGATCCTCAGAACTCGCTTGATAAATGCCTTAATTTTGAATTTCATGTTCTCCAGCATGGACTGATCAGTTGGTGACCTTGAGATTCCATTTCCCACCAGGAAAATTCATGGCTGTGATTGACTGCTGTGTATTTTAGTGTGCTATTTCTGTGACTGTCTCAAGGACGTTTCTATGATGTATAAATAAACGAGAGTTGTATGCTTGATTGTGTTGTGTGCTTGCTGGGTGTTTGTAGAATATACTTTCTACGCTTATCAAGACTTCTGTTTTGCAGTTTGGGATTCAAGGTAACCTACCTGGAGTCTGGTTTATTGTCTCGTTCGCGCTTATCGACTAAGGTGAACTCGTATTAGCTTCAAGGGTACCTAGTGACGAGCTTAACAAAAACACATTGTAAACTGCACCCAATAAAGGTCAAAGTTGAAAAATATAAACTATCGTAGAATTCGATCGTATTTAGGTTAAATGCATAAATACAACCAAATCAGATATATTACAGTGGGTTTACACTTCTATACTGTTATACTCGTCACTTGATATGATTGAAGCTATTACCAGTTCACCTAAGTCAATAAACGAGAACGAGACAATGAACCACTGACACAGTAGGCTGGTCTGATCCGTTGCCCCAACTAACTGAAGTAAAAGTCTTGATATGGCGTAGAAATCGTAGTGTAGTCTACAAACACGTAGCAATTACAATGATCTCAAGCACATAAATCACCTTTATTTATACATCATAGAAACGTCCTTGGGAGAGTTACAAAAATAGCGTAATTAAAATAACACATCAACCAATCACAGCCAAGGATTTTCCTGGTGGGAAATGTGATCTCAGGGTCAGTTGATCAGCCTATGAATAATATCCAAAATTAAGGCCTTTATCAAGTGAGTTCTGGGGATCCAACGTCCCCAACATATACACAATTTAATTTTCATTGAACAGATGGTTCAGTTTCATTGAAATAATCAATCGTTCAATCTTCCACTACCATTAGAAACGTGGAGGCGTTCGAAGGCCATTTCGTCCTAGTACGGGACTCAGCAGTATTGTATATCAATGACTCCTGCTCACGGGGATCGATCCCAGGATTTTCAGTCTCGCATGGAAATGCTTGACCTCTAGACCAACAAGTTGGCATCCAACGGTGTTAATGTCTAACTTCAATCAATCATCGGTCATACGCAACACGGTGAGTGAGAGTTGTGTATGCACACTGTTAATGAGTTCCATACTAGGAAAAAATGCCCGTCCGATGCTTCCACATTTCTGATGGCGGTTTATTTATCTAGACCAATGGGACTAGAGATATATGACACTGATCATCACTTAGCAGTCAGTTGATTGTAAATATTTTGGTTCTGCGGGAGGTTAATGGCTATCCGGATAACTAAGTGTTAACCTATCAAATTGTGAAGTTGGGTAATCCAAATGGCAATATTAGAGCATAGAAGATTCCAAATATAACCGATGACAACGCCTAGTTAGCACAAAACACAATTTTGGGGGTTTCTTACAGACTATATCTGAATATTGAACATTATTCACTGTCTAAGATGCTTAAAAATTCACGTCCAATGGATACTGAAAATATTCAAAATCAAAAGGTATAGATTTATCAAACACAGCGTATCATTATTAAAAAAAGTGTTACAGCTTTCAACCGGTGAAGTTTCTCAATGTCAGTAACTTTTAAAGTACTGAGAATAAATACTTTAAGTCAGAAAGACGTTACATGATTGTATTAAGCAGCAGGAGTTATATTTTGAAAGAAAAACACATCATTCCAGAAAAGCAGCGCTTTAACAAGGACCACCGAAGTGAACAGTCCACTGATAGACACAAACCATAAGATTCTTTCTCCTGGTGATCGACTGGATTATGAAGACGTCGACAGCTGGAGGGAAGCACGGTATCAACTGGACAGTTAGGACGCAGCTGGACGATCTGGACTTCGCAGATGACTTGGCTCTTCTATCGCACACGCAACAACAAATGCAAGAGAAGACGATCAGTGTAGCAGCAGCCTCTGCAGCAGTAGGTCTCAACATACATAAAGGAAAAAGCAAAATTCTCCGATGCAACACAACATGCACCAACCAAATCACACTTGATGGAGATGCCTTGGAGAGCGTTACCACCTTTGCATATCTGGGCAGCATCATCGACGAGAAAGGTGGATCCGATGGAGATATGAGGGCACGGATTGGCAAAGCAAGGGCTGCATTTCTACAGTGGAAAAATATCTGCAACTCCAAACAACTCTCAACCAAAATCAAAATCACGATTTTCAATACAAATGTCAAGACAGTTCTACTGTAAGAAGCGAAAACTTGGAGAACTACGAAAGGCATCATCCAGAAGATACAAGTGTTTATTAACAGTTGTCTACACAGGATACTGCGGATTCGTTGGCCAGACATCATCAGCAACAACGAACTGTGGGAGAGAACAAGTCAGATTCCAGTGGATGAGGAAATCAGGAAGAAGTGGTGGAAGTGGATAGGACACACACTACGAAAAGCACCTAATTGCGTCACGAGACAAGCCCTCACATGGAACCCTCAAGGCAAAAGGAAAGGAGGAAGGCCAAGGAACAGATTACGCCGAGAAATAGAGAAAGATATGAGAAGAATGAACAAACATTGGACAGAACTGGAGAGGGAAGCCGCCCAGGACAGAGTTGATTGGAGAAAACCTAAATATTTACGCACCAATCAAACCATTGAATTTGTGCGTGGACCGGGAGCAAAGTTAGGAACTATTGGTTTGCAGTCAGGGTTTTACAACTCTGCAAGATAGAACCTCATTATGTATTATTTCGGTTCAAGCTCTGGACATGCACCTTTCGTGTTCTCGGTTTTTTAACCGATACCCCCATCACCAGAAGGCAGTGAGTAGATCCACTTTGATGCCGCCTTTATACGAGTAACCATGTGAGAGCATTCTAAGGAAGGAGAACACTATCTACTCTCGGCCGTATTAGGTTATTAAGAGGCAACCATCAAATTACAGTATTATTGAGGGCTAAGTTGTACATGGTTATTGATTTTCAACTTTTAGCTCATCTTACTTGTTGTGAATGTTTATTACGGGACTTCTGTCTGAAGAAACATGAAAGCTCCACAACCAAAACAACCAGATCAGAAAACTAAACACCACCACAATCATCCACCTGAGCTACAAATTTTCTCCTATCAGCATAAAGAGAAAACATTCAGGCCCAATCCTAGTAGCAGAATTATGAACAGTTTTAGTGTTCATGGAATTTCATTCTATTCCACTACCTTATTTTTACACTAACTTACTTACACACTTATTATTCCTTAAAAAATTTCAGCCATGGTTATTGTCAATGGAAAGATAGTCAACAACCAACAGAAATTCTAGCTAAATTATGTGAAAAATATGGTATTGAACAACCTGTTTATAATATATTGGAGAATAAAATTACAATAGGCAATGAATCATTCTTTGCAAATACAGAAATTCGAAATGAAACTGGTAAGTTGAAAATTATTTTGAATTTTAAATTTTATATTACTAACAAGTAGTATGATTTTTTTTACCAGTTTTTACTTTGAAATGTATAATCTGCGTGATCGTCAAAATGAGAAATAACCTGGGGAGACAGCCATATTCTATGGATATTTTTAAAAATTCATACTAATCAATAAATAAAGATGACTTCGTTACTGCATAAATATTCAGTAAATTGATTACTGAAATTATTGTGATGCATAGATAAATAAACATATATATGATTTCAAATGTGTTAAAACACATAACCTCCAAAACTCTGCCCCAAAATATTGTAACAGTGCTCACTAGTGACTAGCTTCGTGAGGAAATTCTCGGAGTTCTAGTTGAGAAGACGTAACTAATGTAGTTCAACCCTGTCAGGTGTAGGCAGTAACTACTAAAGACAAATGGGTGAGGTCGCGCAAAAATCCCTAGATCAATCAGAGTTAGACATTAACACTGTTGGATACCGGCCCAGTGGTCCAGAGGTTAGGCGTTCGCGCACAAAAGTGAAGGTCCTGGGTTCGAGTCGTGGATGCGCACTACCACTGATGAGTCCCATACCAGGACGAAACGGCCATCTTTCAGTGCTTCCAGGTTTCTAATGTTGGTCTATCAATGATTGATTGATGATTTCAAATGTGTAAAAACACAAAACCTCCAAAACTCTTCTCGAAGAAACCTGGAAGCATTGGACAGCCGTATCGTCCTGATACCTGTTCAGTAGTCCAGAGGTCAGCTGTTCACACACAAGACCGAAGGTCCTGGGTTTGAATCCTGCAAGGTGCAGGGGTCGTGTACTCAAACTCCTAGTGAGTAGTCCTATACCAGGACGAAACATTTGTCTTTCAGTTCTTTCAGGTTTCTAATGATGATCTAACATTTATCGATTCATGATTTAAATAAGTAACTCAACAATCTCCACAACTCAATAATGCAATATAGATATTTGAGTTTAAACGATTTCTCTTTTCATGTATCAAGATTTGTTTTTATAAATAAATAATCAGTTTAATTGTACATTTATATCACCAAAAGATGATCGAATGTGTTTGTAGTAATTTTAAAATGTGCACAAATATGTTCGTTCGTGTTGAATTAATGTGATAGGTAACAAAAAAGTTTTGAGAATTTTACTCCTTTATTTACTCCCATTACCCTTCGGGAAGTATATGTTGCTAAACAGGGACTCTCCAATCAACTCTCTCTCTCTCTTGGATTCTCATTTCCATTTGTGGCCACATGTTGTTCATTCGATGGTCATGAAATTAAACACCTTCACGAAACCGAAAGTCTTGAGTTCGATTCCAGCTCGCACGGTTGTAGATACACACACTGCTGATACGTATCATACTAGGTTGAAAAGTAGAAGTATCTTTAAAATTCGAAATGACTTAGTTTTAGCCACATTATAAATATACTGAACTGCTAGCAAAGTATTATATGGATATAACCAAGCTTGTTGTCTAAAGTTGGGCACTTTGATTTTACTCTTCTGAATTTAGACATATTTACGTGGGAACCACATCAGCTGTGAATCTTCAATCTGATCGGTACTAACACAGTGGTCAATCTTTCCCGTTTCCAATTGTAGGCTATCAAGCAACTGAGAAATAACCTGCTAGATTTATGTCATTGAGAAAATAGATAACTTTACTCAACTTAATTTGATTGTCGAATTTCAATTATGCCATAAATATTGATATTTGACAAATTTTAACCTTGAGGAGTACAAAAATCTGACTAGTGATCGAAGTTGTTACATGCACCTAAAGTTATGAGTCGAAATCGAAAGAAAGAAATAATGAAAATTTATTTATTCTATATCATTCCCCAGATTGCAATATCATCATATTGTAGTGAAGGAGAACACACGTGAGGGCAACCGGATTGTATTTATCAAGAAAATTACAGAGTTACTCAGTAAAATAGGAAAACCATATCGTAAACGGTTAATTTGCAAATCTTCAATCCATCATCAATCCATTGTCTGACATTTCACTCACTATTCATGCGTTTCATACAAATTCCATTGTGTTCCCACTCTTCCTTTCTTGCTTGATCTTCGCCCATCTTCTACTGCCAGACATTACATTTACACTCGCGTCATATACTACTTATAAGTAGCGCGCACCACAATATAATTTTTATGTTGACTATTGTAAAAATAACATTTCTAAGGATTTTTAAGTGGCTGATTCTGGAGGAAGCATTTTTTTTTCACAGAATTTCTTCATACACTTTCATGAGTACTTAAAACCTAGGTTTACTAACTCAGTTATAAATTCGAACCAATAACTGACAGCTCTCCACTTTGGATGTGTATGTGATTATAACCAGAAAAATACTTAAAACTAAAAACACTTTCAAACATTAGAATTCTTAACCAATAAGAAGGTGGATAAAGTCAATTACGTCATATATATATTCAAACTGATCCCGATATACAAGTCAAATGTAATTTGTGTCTTCTAAATTTATTTAAATCGAAAGAACCGACATTCAAATTAATGATCATGATAAAAAAGAAGCTATATTATAGCATTTAATCGTTAGTTGATGTCGAAGTAGACCCCTACGCAGAGAATGACCACATTTTCCTACATATTCGTTAAAGACATTAGGACCCCCAGAACTCATTTGGAAAAGTTCCCACTTTCGGAAATTTTTTTATGTTTTCACGCATACGCTGGCTGCTCAGTGAACCTTGAGATTATATTTCCCACTCAGAAAAAATCCTTGACTGTCATTTGTTGATGCATTAGTTTAGTACGCTATTTTTGTGGTTCTCCCCAAGGGCGTTGCTATCATTGTATAAATAAGCCTGATTTGTATGCTTAGCAACCTTATGCTTTCTGGGTGCTTGTAGAATACACTTTCTACGTCTTGTGAATGATATTGAATCTAGAACTTGTTTGAACCTTGTGGATCATTTTTATTATTTCCCTGATCAATTGACAGTTTTGTGAATTTTATGAGACTTTCAAGTTCTAAGGTCTAATCTAATAGATAATAGTAATCAAACCACATTGTTCAAACATTAAAAAAGCAGTTATTTTGAATTGTGTAATATTTTTCAGCTAAAAGAACAATTTCCGAACAAGTATTATGCATTAGAATAACACACTTACTTACTTACTTACTTACTTACTTACATAACGGTATTATTTCAATTGCCAAAAAATTTCAGAAAACTTCTATTATTGTAACGCGTTAAAAGTTAACTATCATTTTTTAATTAATAATATTCAAAAGTTCAGTTAAACACTATCAGTAATAAATCATTGAACATTGAATTTATTTCTACCACATATCGTGTCATCAGTATGATAATAATAATAATAATAATAATTAGTTAATAATATTTATCATTTAAAATTCACTTTAATTTTTTATGGCTGTTCATTATGTTGATATCCTTTAGCTTGTGTAATGTTAAATGTAAAAATTCTAGAAGTTTACAGACTACACTTATTTTAATGATCTGTTGGTGACGGATTATTATTTAATCAATAAGAGTTTTACAACAAAACTATCCCACTTAGAGAATACAATACCATGAAAATCATTTTTACTTGTAACTAACTTCCAGTAAACTTTTCAAAATTTTTATTCAAAAACAATTATTTCAGAGATTATGAGTAAGTCAGTTGGTAATTACTTATGATTGGACCATGAACTAGTTTTGTGGTGTGAGCTACTTGTAAGTAGTAGTATATGACGTGAGTGTCAACTTAATGTCTGGTAGCAGAAGATGGGGGAAGATCAAGAGAAAGGAAGAGTTAAAACACAATGGAATTTGTATGAAATGCATGAATAGTGAGTGAAATGTCCGACAATGGATTGATGATGGATTAAAGATTTGCAAATTAACGATTTACGATATGGTTTTCCGATTTTACTACTGAGTAACTCTGTAATTTTCGTTGCCCCACCTGTGTTCTCGTTCACTACAGTTTAAACCTTGTGGATTATTCTATTAGAACCTAGTAATCGAATAGTTTTATGAATTTTATAAAACTATCAAGTACTAGATTTTATTTAAATAGCCAAAAGCCATCTTAAAAGCATATTGTTCAAACTTGAATGAAGCCTACAAAACATTTGTTCAATCTATTTTTTTTCACCGCGAAACATTTTTTTTTCGAGATAAAAGAACAATTTCCGATCAAGTATTATGCATTAGAATAACACACTTACTTACTTACTTACTTACTTACTTACATAACGGTATTATTTCAATTGCCAAAAAATTTCAGAAAACTTCTATTATTGTAACGCGTTAAAAGTTATCTATCATTTTAATTAATAATATTCAAAAGTTCAGTTATACACTATCAGTAATAAATTATTGAATATTGAATTTAGTTCTACCACATATCGTGTCATTAGTATAATAATAATAATAATAATAGTAATAATAATAATAATAATTAGTTAATAATATTTCTCATTTAAAATTCATTTTCATTTTTTAAGTCTGATAAAATAATTAATCTTTGTTCTAATTTAATAAAATGTTCAATTGTTTCAATTGTATTATCATGAGGTATTTTTTAGGTAGAGTAAATTTTTTTGTTTTTTTAATTAAAAGTATCATTATTTTTTTTTAAAAAAAAATAAATCAACACAAAATAATTAATCATTATCATGAATAGTTAGCATAAGTGATTCTCATTTAATCAAAAGTTGAATAATTTTTAAAATAAAACTGAAAAAACAATAATTGAAACAGAATAATATTACCATTGAATTGGATATGTGGAAGAACGGTACACTCCACACACTGATTATGGTAAAACTAGATTTGTGATTCACAATCAAATTAGTGAACCAGATTAAGTAATATACACTACTTTATTCTACACGATTTTGCAGACAGTCACACACTGTGAGTTCGGAATAGACATCAGTGCGAGCAAATGAAATTACATAGTCAGTAGGCTGTGCCTGTCCGTCTACATTTTTCACTCACTAATGATAAGTTCGTCACTTATTATGCTTGAGGCTATTACGAGTTTACCTTAGTCGATAAACGCGAACGAGACAATAAACCAGCGTCCAGGTAGGCTACCTTGAATCCGAGGTTGAAGTAAAAAGGCTTCGTAAGCGTAGAAAGTATATTCTACAAACACCCAGCAATCACAATGCATTGAAGCAGACAAATCTCGTTTATTTACACAACATAGAGACGTCCTTGAGACAGTTAAGAAAATAGCACACTAAAATACACAACAGCCAATCATTGCCATGGATTTTCCTGGTGTGAATTGAAATCTCAAGGTCAACTGATCAGCCAATGATGGCAAACGTGAAAACCGAAATAAGGCAGTTATCAAGCGAATTTTGGGGATCTAACATCCCCAACAACTACCACTCATCATCTCTCATCAGCTGATTACAACCGTATATATAAGTAACCATGATATGCAAGGAATTCATATTATTCCATCTCAATTGTTGTTCAAGCTTCACTTAGATTAATTCAAGTGAAAAAACTGCATGAATATTTTTTTATCCGAATAATATTCAACTATCAATAATTGGTTAGAGATTTAAAATTTAGACATTATTGATTAAGAGTGAGATTGAACTATTGATTGTTGGTTCGAAAGAGTTGATTAAGAATCAAGTTATAAGGATAATTTATCCAGCTTCAGTAATGTTCATTAACTTGATTAGATTTACAAATGAATTATCATTGTTGAGTTATTCTCTACACTTTACTGATCAATAATCATTATTACATTATAGTTAAGACGATGAAATGTTTTTTCATGATAGCATGATGAAGACTGATAAGCTTCATTGAACTAACGAATTGATCATTGTTAGATCAACATTAAAAATCTGAAATCACTAAGACGGCGTTTCGTGCG